ACAGTAACGGGGCATCTCAGGACCTCAATGGCACCAAAAATGTCATTCATAATTCCATAGCAGACCGTAGGAAAAAATTTGCCATATATCAAAAATTGGCCATGTAGGGGCTTCGTCATTGACTGGCCAGTGACAGATTTAGGCATGAAAATACCTTTATGTTGGAATTTTGGAGATATTCACAGGTCTGAAGGCACTATGTGATTGAGTTTGTGCCAATTCCATTAAAAAATCTGCCCCACCCCCATTACTGTGGACTGTGCAAAAATTGGCCATGTAGGAACTTCGTCTTTGACTGGCCAGTCCTCCATATTGGATATCCATCACTGGCCATATTTGAGAAATTACAGGAATAAAGAACATTTCTCCCCATTGTACACCTAAATATGTCAGATTGGCATTTCAGGACCTCACTGGCACCAAAAATTTCATTCATATTTCTATCTGAAAGAATTGGCCATATTTTAAAATATTTTAAACAGTTAACCATGAAAATTCCATTATATTGAATTTTTTTTTATATTAACGTTCCTGATTGCACCATCTTTATCTGAAGAATGTACTATGAGCCTATGAGAGATTCTATTGTATAGAAAATATCGTTTTTTGTCATAATATTGTAATTCATAATTAAATTCTTTCCTTTGTACACACCCACTGACCGGCCATAAAAATTGGCCATTGGCCACAAAAATTGGCCAAAAAATTAGGGACGAAGCCCTTAATCTAATTTTTTGATACTTCTTACGAATTGAATATTTGTTTCGAACAGTTTGGACGTTTCGTACCCTTTCTACAAAATTCCATGAATACTGTAAAGTACCTTACGCTACAAGTAACCGATATATGAGGCCCAAACATGTCAGTATCATACCCAAATCAGATTTGATAATCGGAACTGTTTCATTTATTAATACTGTGACCAACAAACATAGAGAATGTCTTTCGAGACTATGAGCCATCCCAGTGACACATATTGCCAGAAACGACTTTAAAAACCACAATATTTCGTGTAAAATTTGCTCACACTTCAGTATTATACCTCTACCGGAAGTCTACCTGAGCTGACTCATAGTCCCTGAGAGTCATTGTCGATGTCTAAGGGTTACATTACCAAGAGATGAAACAATTCTAATCATCACTTCCGGTAGAGGTAGTATACTGAAGTGGGTGAAATTTGGCTTATATCCACGATATAGCGATATCTTTGCAGGCCTGTTGTTGGACATGTGGGTCACTGGACTGACTCATAGTCCCTAGGAGTCATTGTCGATGTCTAAGGATTACATTACCAAAAGAGGAAACAATTCTAACCGTCACTTCCGGTAGAGGTATTATACTGAAGTGGGTGAAATTTGGCTTATATAGCGATATGTTTGAAGGCCTGTTGTTGGACATGTGGGTCACTGGATTGACTCATAGTCCCTAGGAGTCATTATCGATGTCTAAGGGTTACAATACCAAAATATGAAACGATTCTAATCATCATTTCCGGTAGAGGTATAATACTGAGATGTGTGCAATTTGGCTTATATACACGATATAACGATATGTTTGAAGGCCAGTTGTCGGTCATCTGGGTCACTGAGCTGACTCATAGTCCATGAGAGTCATTGTCGATGTCTAAGGGTTACATTACCAAAAGATGAAACAATTCTAATCATCACTTCCGGTAGAGGTAGTATACTGAAGTGGGTGAAATTTGGCTTATATGCACGATATAGCAATATCTTTGAAGGCCTGTTGTTGGACATGTGGGTCACTGAGCTGACATGTTGTTGTACATGGCACTAAGTGGAACTATAAAGTTTTGTTCCTGACAATTATCAATAAGGCTGTATCTGGCAATAAAATAATGGCATCCCATCGCCCACATTTCCTACCCTAATTCCTAACCTATGGCAGCTATTTGAGTTCTGTTTTTTCCCAAATGTCTAGCGAGCCAATAAGCATATGGCCAGCAAATTTCAGCTTTGTAAGTTTTTAAGACAGCAATTTATTTGCATATGCGCACTTTTAGTGCAGCAGTCCCTTTGAAGTGGAAATGTCCATTTTTTTGCTGTAATCGTTTTTATTTTGCTTTTGTGCGTTTTTCTAACTCTTTGGGGTCTAGGCAGACGGAAAAGAAACAACACTTGGGCAATATTGAGTTGTTTAGCAACGTTAGGTCCCTTGGCAGTTTCGGCCAATGTGGCCTATAGAGCGGAAAATCGCCCACATTTCCTACCTTTATTCCTAACCTATGGCAGATATTTGAGTTCTGTTTTTTCTCAAATGTCCAGATAGCCAATGTGCATATGGCCAGCAAATTTCAGCTTTGTAGCTTTGTAAGTTTTTAAGATAAAAATTTATTTGCATATGCGCACTTTTAGTGCAGCTGTCCCTTTGAAGTGGAAATGTCCATTTTTTTATGTAATCGTTTTTACTTTGCTTTATGTGTTTTTCCAACTCCTTGGTGTCTAAGCAGTCGGAAAAGACCCAACACTATTGAAATTATCGCCTTTTGCAGAACAGTCAATACTTGTCCGTGCCTCTCAGCACCACCGGCATTTGGTTGGGAATTTTAGTTTCAAGGAAGGTATAGCTTTCGAAAGAAAATATTCTATATGCGCAAGTTTGTGGATGGTGTGTTTACATTTGCAACCGGGAAAAAAAACTCCCCAAGGATAAATGTCGTGCTACTTTCTATGACATTCAAAAAAGAAGTTTCAGTTGATATCCATTGTTAAAACTAGCTAATAACAATTATTGGAATTTTTCAGTGTACGGGACCATTGCACGAAAAGTGTTCAAATGCAAATAAATTTTGCCCAAGTTTTGGACATTTCCTTCTAATTAGACCCCAGGGGCTTGGGAAAACGCATAAAAGTTAATTAAAAACAATTAATGGAAAAATAGAAATTTCCAGTATATAGGCGATCACTTCACGAAAAAAAGAGAAGCAATGTAGAGAAAGTAATAATGTGCCGTTGGTGATTAAAGTTTTTCTGCCTTTATTCTCTTATTGAAAATGTGACGAAAATGAATTAAATTTGTAAAGATAGCTTGCCAGGCAAGGTAATATACGCCCACTGGCAGCTTTGATTTTGAATAAAAATATTTGGCAGTACAGTAACAATTACCAGTATGAAATATTTAACCTTCAGTCATACACTTCTTTTGAACTCTTTAGGGCGATACTAAATAGTATTGAGTATGAGTTATTGCCCTTGTTCTTGAAAACGTGTTCAATTTTTAGCACGTGAAACTAGAAGGCAAATATCTAACCTTCAGTGCGGTACTGAATACTAAAACCAAGTTTTGTCAAAATCCGGCAGGAATCATGCCTTTTAGTGTTTAAGAGCTAAAATTTGAAAGCGTTTTCAAGAACAAGGGCAATAACTCCTATGAAACATTTTTCGATTTTTATGATTTTCGATAGGGTTTATCCATGGATGATAATAAACAATTTCACCAAGTGTCGTCAAAATCTTCCAGAATGTTTACGAGCTAAAAATTGAACGCGTTCTCAAGAACAGGGGCAGTAACTCCTACTAAATAATTTCGATTCTTCTGCTTTTTATGGGGTTCATCCTTGGGTGATAACGAACACCCACACCAAGTTTCGTCAAAATTCGTCAAGAATTGTGCCTTATAGAGTGTTTACGAGCTAAATATTAAACGCGTTCTCGAGAACAGGAGCAGTAACTCCTACTAAATATTCGATTCTTCTGATTTTCGATAGGGTTCATCCTTAGGCGATAACGAACACTCACACCAAGTTTCGTCAAAATTTGTCAAGAATTGTGCCTGCGAGAGTGTTTATGAGCTTAAAGTTGAACGCGTTTTCAAGAACAAGGGCAATAACTCATACTAAATATATTTTTTTCAATTTTTCTGATTTTCAATAGGGTTTATCCTTGGGTGATTACAAACACTCATGCTAAGTTTCGTCAAAATCCATCAAGAATTGTGCCTTCTAGAGTGTTTACGAGCTAAAAATTGAAAGCGTTTTCAAGAGCAAGGGCAATAACTAAATAATTTTCGATTCTTCTGATTTTCAATATGTTGATTACGAACACTAACACTAAGTTTTGTCAAAATCCGTCAATAATTATGTCTTGTAGAGTGTTTACGAGAAATTGTGGACGGATGGGCGTATAAAAAACAGATGTTATACAGGACCTTTGAAAAACGCCCTTGAGGCCTTCCACATTGCTATTATCACCACAACAGTTGGATTGGATGCTGCTTTTCTATAGTATTATTATTACTGGCCATATAACTGATACTGTGGCTTTTAATAGACGCCTTTGAGCTCTTCCCCACTGATACTCGCACAACATTGTTGCTTTTCTATACTACATGTATTTTTATTACTGGCCCTTCTACTGCTACTAGCTGTTTTACATGGCCTTTGAAAAACGTCCCTAATTAGCTGTTTTCGCAAGCGTACAATCTAACCAAATTGCTGCAATCCGTGATGCACGAATAGTGGCTATTGTAGTCAAGGTATTAGTGCGAAGTTCGTAATAGCTTGACATGGAATTATATAATTATGCCATAGATATTTTCCACAGTGATTCAACTAATAATGATTGTGAAGCCACACATAATCAAAGCAAGATTCACCCTTAATGCTCATAAGTACAGTTAGCAACCTTTTTCTACAATTCATATTCTGGGACATAAATGATTTTAATTGTTAATTGAACTATTTCTCGACCTATATCTAGCCAACCTGAACAATGAATACGTGACCTTTGTATACTACTGTACTACAACAAGCAACGCCATAAAAAAATGTGTGTTTGTGAATCACATCAGATCCGGTAGGTGTAGTTTTGCAAAAGAAAGAAACATCCTATTGATATTTTTCACATTGTTTCAAACCGAAAGATTGCTGAAAGTGACAAGATGGATTTTCGGATTATTGTAGCAATTTTACTCGTTTCAAACGCTGGTGGTAAGGTTCATGATTATTTTTATGGCTTTGTTTATTTAATATATCAACAGATTTTTAACATTCTTGTGTACCATTGAGGAGAGTTAGAAGTTTCTTTTATTTATACCTTTTGTCAGCTTCCTTTATCAACTTCAACATGTTTAAAAGACACGTCGGTCGATTTCCTAGCATAAAATTAATTCGATCAATCATAGCAATTATTGATTTTGTTTTTCTATTTTAAACAAATTTATGAAATTAAAGTAGAACTATTTGTAATATATTATTTTGGATGTAAAATTCCAACATCTTCATACAATGCTTCGTGAATATTAAATTTGAATTCATACATATTCGTAATGAGAATTAACTTTCCACGGAAAACGGAAATGGATGGACAGGAACATTTCATCAAAAATCAGCTTGGTACTTGGTCAAATGGTGCTGAGTGATTATGATTATCCGAGATACACCAGCAGAACCTTTTCCATTTGATCCCTTGTCAGATTCATGTTTCTTCGAATAAAGTATTCTGTTCATTAATATCTTTGTTTTATTTAATTTCAGCCTTTCAGAGAGAAACAAATACAGGTATGTATATCTCAGATGAGAATTTCAATCTACCCTTTTATCATATAAAAAATGAAGGTTTATTACGTTTGGCCTCCCACTTACAAAATCTTCCAAAATATCATCTTCCACTAAAATGAATAAATTTAGAAGCAGTTTTATAAGTAGCTTATACAATGCAATGTCCAATCGATGTTATCATAATTTTTTGTTTACTTTAAGCAAATTTTGATGAACGTCTTTTGACCTAAACAACACAATTTGAATTAAATGTAGTAGACAACAATGATTCAAGTATCGTTTACTCCGATAACATTGACATTTCTTAGATTCTGTGTAGGCCTACATGATTCAGATTTGTACAATATGCTTAATTTTTGTATGCATTTGGATTGGTCCACCAAGAAATTATCAAGTGACTGTTCAAAGTTGTATAAAATAGAGTGTTCAAAACTATTATGTTTGAATTTAGTCAATGTTTACTTTAACGCATGTATTTTTATATGGTTTATCATTTTCTTAAATTAAACTTGTGAACCTCTGTTGCTCAAGCGTGTTGATAAAATATTGGTTAAAGTTTACATGGTAAAATCACCTGTAGGTACAGGCCACTTACTAATACTTTTTTGAGAGTTATTTGATTTATAATTAAAACAATAAGAGTAATCTGCTTGTGCATAATTCTAAGATAAATATGTTGTTATGGCCTTGTGGAAAATATAGTTACAACCCGGTCGCAAAATAAAAAAATGTTTTTGTGACCTTAATTCTTAATTGTTGACCACATCAGTGATAAATATATGTCATCTTCAAAACAATATCATCACGGCTTGAATGAGTTAAATTAAACACTCGGGCGGAAACGTGTATATATGCATAAAAATAAGTTTAAATTTACAAAGTTTTCTGCTTCATATACATTATTTCGTCATCTGAAGTTTGAACACCAAAGAAGGACTTTCTGCACAGAACAGCGAACAGATGAAGATTAAAACCTTGTTATAATAATATGCTATGAGTGGTTTGTTTGTTTGTTTGTTTGTTGAGTCGATCGATACGTCGTATTATATTTGTGAATATTAAACTAGAATAAATTCAATATCCAAATTATAATATTTACTTAAGTACACTCTGAACAAAGGGAACCGATCGATTTAAATTTTAAAATCTAGAATAAGTCCAGTGTAATCTAGAATGAGTAAAACCTGGAAAAATTGCAATGCAATTTAGAATAAGTGCAATGGAATCTAGATTGAGTGAAATATAGAATAATTGCAATGAAACCTAGCAGGATTGAATTTTTTTTATATTAACGTAGAATGGGTTAGACATTGAGTTAGACCCGTAAAGTATTCTCTGAATAATACAACGATCTGCGTTTCTGTTCAATTATGCACTCCAATAGCATTGCATTGCAAAATGGTCTGCCCTTAATTATAACCCTCCAGTGCACAGGCATCTGTTTCTATCAATAGTGGACTATCTCTATAATAGTATATATAGAAGAAGGTGGCTAACGCTTGTCACGACCATCTCCTCTTCAGACGATTTTCTACCCTTTACTGTAATGAAACATAATCCATACCTTATATGAATCGTTTCATTGAATATTTTCCCTTCACACAAGACATATTTTATATCTCTTCATACTAATCTAACTATTGTTCAATAAAAATACTTTATTTTCTGTTAACTATACTATTATCGAGAGAGTCGACAATTGATAGAAAAGATGCCTGTACTCAAGTGACGTTATTCCATTGCTCTAGTGGGATTTTATTTTTCATACAGCACCTTCCAAATGCCAGTGATGTTTCATATAAAATGCCAGTTATAATAAATATTAAATCCTGTGGTAGTTATCTACTTATGACTGCAGAAGACCTTATCAAAAATATTTCTAGCTCTCTGGTCGCCGGCTGAATGGACAACTTCTGTATAATATTCGAGTTGCACCCCTTTACCAATCCAAGGTTAAGTTTCCAACGCAATAGATAGTTCTATACATAAAATCTGATCCTATACCAGCTTAAACTAAATCTGTAATTTGATATTGTAAATATAATTTCAGTGGCATGTGCTTCAGAAATAGTTAAATTCAACGTCACAGATAAAAGGGACTACTCATACGTCTTAGAGCAAAACGAAGCCCCAATATCAGATATGACTAACATTTCATATCATTATGGACAATGGTTTGGAGAACCGAGTATCATTCTATATACGGGATCAGCACCAGGTCTAAGGCATTGTGGAACTTTGAACCCAATTTATCTACAAGGTATGACACAGTGATACTATAAGTAAGACAATCTAACTCCAAGGTAAGACGCTATGATACTATAAATCCAATCTAAATACAAAGTAAGACACAGTGATACCATAAATTAAACTTAAAGATAAGACTGTGGCACTATAAACCCAATTTATCTACAAGTTAAGACATTGTTGTAGTACTATAAACCCGATTTGACTACAAACTATAAGGTAAGACACTGTGATACTATATAAATCCAATCTAACTACAAAGTAAGACACTGTGAAACTATAAATCCAATCTAACTCCAAGGTAAGACACATTGATACTATAAACCCAATTTAAGTAACAGGTAAGACACTGTGATACTATAAACCCAATTTAACTACAAGGTAAGACACATTGATACTATAAACCCAATTTAACTAACAGGTAAGACACTGTGATATTATAAACCCAATTTAACTACAAGGTAAGACACTGTGATACTATAAACCCAATTTAACTAACAGGTAAGACACTGTGATACTATAAACCAAATTTAACTACAAGGTAAGACACTGTGATACTATAAACCCAATTTAACTACAAGGTAAGACACTGTGATACTATAAACACAATTTAACTACAAGGTAAGACACTGTGATACTATAAACCCAATTTAACTAACAGGTAAGACACTGTGATACTATAAACCCAATTTAACTACAAGGTAAGACACTGTGATAATATAAACCCAATTTAACTACAAGGTAAGACACTGTGATACTATAAACCTAATTTAACTACAAGGTAAGACACTATGATACTATAAACCCAATTTAACTACAAGGTAAGACACTGTGATACTATAAACCCAATTTAACTACAAGGTAAGACACTGTGATATTATAAACCTAATTTAACTAACAGGTAAGACACTGTGATACTATAAACCAAATTTAACTACAAGGTAAGACACTGTGATACTATAAACCCAATTTAACTACAAGGTAAGACACATTGATACTATAAACCCAATTTAACTACAAGGTAAGACACTGTGATACTATAAACACAATTTAACTACAAGGTAAGACACTGTGATATTATAAACCTAATTTAACTAACAGGTAAGACACTGTGATACTATAAACCCAATTTTACTACAAGGTAAGACACTGTGATACTATAAACCCAATTTTACTACAAGGTAAGGCACTGTGATACTATAAACCCAATTTTACTAACAGGTAAGGCACTGTGATACTATAAACACAATTTAACTAACAGGTAAGACACTGTGATACTATAAACCCAATTTAACTACAAGGTAAGACACTGTGATACTATAAACCCAATTTTACTACAAGGTAAGGCACTGTGATACTAACTACAAGGTAAGACACCGTGAAACAAATAAACCGAATTTGATTAAATTATTATAGGTTTTTATTTTGCATTGAATGTCAATATGATTCCTATGAAATATATTGTAGATGAAAGTCCAATGTCTACCAATATAACTACATTGAGAGGTTGTATACAAGAAGAAAAAAATGACTGCGTGTTTGCACAGTTGCAGGTTACATATTGTGAAAATCTGAATTATCATATTTATAAGCTCTATAATGATTTTGGTGACAATACTGCCTACTGTACTGGTATGTATATCTATTCGCTTTAATATTGTTCACATATCATTTATAGAACCGAACATGAATTTACGGGCAACATTGTGTTGGGCCAAAACAAAAATACCAGCAATGCTTGAGTATGAGTGAAATATCATTTACTACATTAAGGGTCTCAAAGCATATATTCAAAAAAAAATCCAGGAGAGGGGCCCCAAGCCACTAAAGTACCCAGGGTTGTCGTTACCAAAATTATTAGTTAACAAATCATTGTGTTGAAAGTAATTACATAATCAGATATAAATAACAATATAATTTTTATATACATTTTTATTTTATTTTGATGATAGCTCAATTCAATTCTGAGTTGAATTATCGGACCAAGGTAAATGTTGATGTTCCCGTACCAAGCGAAGAAAATGGTATGATGAAGTATAAATTTCTCTGTAAATTTGACTTGGACAGAAATACAACATATTTCTACACTGTAAGATGGTACAAGAATAATAAACTCATTAAAACGTTTGATTCTATGACCCACAGTGGAAACCTGCAGGATTTGACTTCATTACAAGAAGATATGGTCGATGAGATCACTTTAGGATATAAGGTATGATATGTATCTAACAGGTTTAATTGAAATTGTTTTCTTCAACTTGTAATAAACAACAACTAATGACAATTAAAATGTATGTAATGTTTAGTATTGTTCAACAGTATCCTCTCCAACAGCTTGTACTCGAAAGATTTTATTATTCCATAAACTCGCCTAAATGAATAAGGAATTATTTTCAATCTAACGTATACCGCTCTATAAGTAGATATGCTGTAATTATATTTTTTTTTCTCAAATTTCAATTCCTCTGTTTTGATGTTTTCTTTCAGTTACAATGTAGCTATGCAGTAAGTTTACAGGCTGACTCTGAAAAGAGTTATGATGTGAAAAGTAGCCAACGGTTGATAGGAATTGAGGTTCTTTTATTACATTTTTTTTTAAAACTTTAAAAATGTTTTACCTTATTTTAGAGTGGTGTCAAATTAAGCAAACTATTTGATTAGTTGGTGTTTCTAATGAATTATCATGTTTTCTTAATCATATCAGTATGTTCTTATTGCATATAACTGAGGGTTTTAACTAATCATAAATGTCCATGTATGTACAGTCTGGATAAACAAAAAAGACTTTTTGACCTTCCTTGGTCGGTCACTTATCGGAATTTTGCTGGTAAATCTCTTCTAATTTAACTAATTATGAATTAATTATGGACATGTGAGACAAACTGGTATTTATCCAAGTCATTAAGAACACCTTTACTTTCTATTCATATAAATATTAACATATTAACCCATCTTTAAAACAAAATGTTATTGATATTAGTTCCAATCAAACAAGAAATTATTATATAGGGAGTTTTCACTTTATAAGAATGATAGTACAGGAAATGACACCAGAAAATGGCACTTTTTGATTGTTCTAGCAGTTCTAATTGATGGCCTACGAGTTGATTAATATTCTGAAATGGTGCAGTAATCATTTTCTACACATCAAATAAACATACTAGAAAACTACGGTGGTTTGTTTACATGTTTAATTATACTTATCGTTAATTTTTTTGACTGAATATAAAAAATAGTAACAAAAGTGATAGTTCGGCAAACAAAAATAAAAAATAAGTAGAATCAAATCATAATTCAGTAAACAAAAATAAATAAATATAATTAAATCATAATTCAACAAACAAAAATAGTAAACAAAAATGAAAAGTAAGTAGAATTAAAATTTGCCCTAGACAAACCACTGTAAAAAACCTCTTTACGATATATTTACAAAATTAACAAAAGTGACACCGAGTTGACAGATTAGAATTTGTAGTACAAGAAGAGAGAGCATACCATGACCTGTTAGCAATACCTATCACCTTGCTTATTAATATAAGTTCAATAACATTTTCGGTCGAGAATGTATTTAAGAGTCGTATTATTGTCAGTAATTAAAGTATTGTGTATCATGAGGGTTTGTTAACGTATGTTTCAGATCCTAACTCCAAACGTTAATATCAAAGATGGTGGTAGCAAGGCTGCAATCAGAGTGAGACCAAGAGTCCCATTCGCCTGTTTGTCCACGGTTTCGAATTGTTTCATCAACGTAAACATCATAGATCCAAAGGCGTCGGAATCAAACACTGCTTGTAACCCCAGCTCTAGTTTTTCTGGATGTGGTATCAAGATTTTGAGTTCGGACTGGGACCGAGAATATAATGTGACAGTATCAGCTGATCCTGCAACTCAATATGGCAGCAAGTCTGCTGTTAATATTGTGAATCTCAGGACTTCTGTTAGTTTCCCGTCACAACCGGCATGGCAGAATTACGACGTTGGTAATGTTTCTGTAAGTAGCTACTATTACTGGCGTGACTCTTAACTATAAAGACTAGCCCAGGGGCACTGGGCAATATCTAAACATTTCTGTCAAAAAAACTGCAACTGCGAATCACTAAATGGGCGTGGATTTCGATTTCTCTTGTCGATGGCAAGATCAATATTTTCTGGAAAGTAGAGCATCCTGTTTTATTTACGTTGTCTATTTAATTGCTAGATTCAAACAAGTTACAATACAGCCAATATCAAAGGAGCACAGTGTTATGCTGTTTGTGATCCTCATATGAGGACATTCGGCGGCAAGTAAGTACAATTAGAATTAAATTGAAATTGACACACGTTGAATGGTTAAATCATATAACTATATACTCTTTAGTGTTCTATACCACCTTTGGGACACGCCTTTGGCAATGACAAAGATACGAAATTGTAATCTTATTTTAATTAGATAAACTTAATGAAATATATTCATTGAATAATTCATTAATTATTAGTCCAAATTCTCGTCGGTAAATATTCTGGTCATCTGATACCTTTATGTTCATTCTAAGACGTAGTATCATTTTAATACAGTTCGTGCCAAAAATATTCTCAAATACAAATCTACAAATACAAATCTAGATCAACATATCTTCAAATGCAAAACTTCAAACACAAAACAAATGTTCAAATACAAATGTTCAATAATATATCTCGCTCAACAAATCTTGCGAAGAATTTCTCCAAATACATGTCGAATATATTTGAATGTCGTGATTATGACGACAGATGTCGCTGTAGAACCAACATAAAATAAGATATAGACTATAGATAGCTTCTATCATCCAGTCCAATTTTCAACGCTCCTTCCATGGCATTAACAAGGCAAGTAACATTTATAGCCACCAAATAATCATAGGCCTAGTCTTTTTAAAATATTCATGCAAATATCTTGCAATGAATTTGTCATGAATTGTAGGCCACTATAGCATACTGTCTTTGCAAATAGATTGGTATATCGCATTTTACCGATTTCACCCCAAAATGTATATCTACTGTAGTCGCTAGTGATTAGGGTGATTGAAGAGTAACCAGTTACTATTCAATATAAGGCACTGGCACAGAGTTAAAGTTATGTTTACAATAATTGTGATGCTAATATGCAATGAACTAAAACAAAGAAGATCATAACGGTTATCCTATAAATCTTCTTGGACCTAATAAAGAAATTCGTAATACTTATAATCTAAATTTACGGAAATAACATTATTGGGACAATCGTCTGTGGAAAATACAGAATCATAAAAACTCTGACTGCTTCAAATTTTCTGGAATAATGAAGAAAAGCGATGTCGCTAGTGTTGCAGTCGTAGCAAGGGATCGGCGTCTTCAAGGGAATTGCAAACTGTCGTAGAAGCTATCTATAGTCTATATCTTATTTTATGTTGGTTCTGCAGCGACATCTGTCGTCATAATCATGACCTTCAAATATATTCGATAAGTGGGAAATGTTTCGCAAGATTTGTTGAGCGAGATTTATTATTGAACATTGGTATTTGAACATTTGTTGGTAGAGTGTTGTGTTTGACGTTTTGCATTTGAATATTATGTTGAGCTAGATGTGTATTTATAGATTTGTATTTAAGGATATTTTTGGCAAAGATTTTATTACTTCAATAATTGGAAAACCGAATGTTTATCAAAGAATGTTCATTTTCAGTACAAATTATGATTTTTGTTTACAGATGTCAATTTTCAATAACAAATGTTGAATTAAGCACACAAATTAAAAGATAAGAATTTAAAATTTAATTCTTAAAGGAATTAAGAAATAGCAATGAAGAACATTGAATAAAAAGCCATTCCGCCTTCCATAATCAGTTAGCTTTATGGTTGTATAATATGGGTATTTATAGTGTAATGGAGCTATCAGAACGTAAAGCTGTAGTTATAATTATTTAATAATAATAATAATAATAATAAAGTTTATTCAAGTACTATACGACTTTCGTCATGGTACAAACGTTAACAAAAATAGATTTGAATTTTCTAATAAAGAAAATGCATATAATAAAATAAATTTCAAATATAGAATATACAAAAATAATTTAAATATCAAATATAGTATATTAAACAAATACAGATAATAATTTTAATTTCAAATATATTATATACAAAATAATAATCTAGATTTCACATATTAATTAATTATACAAAATAATAGTTCAAACTTTTAATTAAGGCAGGTATATACAATAAGTCGATTGGATAAAATTCATGAGAGTATTTCTTGTCTAATACCTAATCCTTTTTTTATGTACAAAGCTAAGTTTTTTGGACATCTATAGATTTGCTTGTAAATAGAGATTTAAGTTTGAAATCGTTTGGGTTTAAGTGACAATATTTTTCATGATATAATTATTATCATGAAATGTAATGGAGTTTTACTTCTGCCTGTTTATATTATAGATCATATGAACACCAGTATGGGGGATTATATACACTTTATGAAAATAAAGATTGGAATCAAGAGGTATGTTATTATTGCTTCGTAATAAATCACCTAAATATTTCTGATGGAATTAAATACAGATCTGACATTGTAAAAATATTAATTATTAGTCCATATTCTCGTCAGTAAATATTCTGGTCGAATAAAACCAGCAACGTTGTGCTCGACACTCATCATCTTCACAATGTAAAGTTATTACGACCTTCGTCTGATACCTTATGGCTTATTGTTCACAGAATTCTTGTTAAGGCCCCTGATTGACTGTATACGTCAACGTGTAGCCTACAATCCAACCAATGTTACACACGAAAGGTGGCTATTGGAGTATTAAACCTAGTTTGTATAGCTTGACATTCTGAAGTTTGCTAATATAATAATTGTGTGATTATTCATTCAATGTGATAAGGAGATCGAACACTATGTACAAAATTAGGGGTAAATGATAACAACTTGTTAAATACAAAGGTATAAACAATGCTAATCATGCTTGTGTACTTGTCAAAAAGACTCTAAAAAGAATACAATAAACTAGTGTATATAAGTTTATCATTTTTGTTTTAGATCCAAATGAAAACAGAACCATGTTCAAGAAATGGTGCTGAACCATATTGTCCATGTGGTGTAGCTATTAGAGTTGGTAAAGAAGTATTTGTTATCGAGAGATGTGGTACGGCTACATTTTGGACAATACAATATAATCAATGTAGCACCACGGGAACAAGGCTTATTGCTATTAGTAAATCTGGCAATATGTACCGAGTAAGTCCTCATTTTGTTGTGATTATCTGCGTTTTAAGGACAAATTGACTGATTCAAAATTGCTTAAAGGTAATTTCTATCGGCTTTAATAAATTGCTGATCGAAGAACAGATTTGACTGTACATGTATTTGGATACCAAGAACTTGTGGTGATGCTCTCTCATTCTATTAAATGAGCTCTGTCGCACGCGAATGGAAGGTTGGGCGCTTGAAAATATTATGAGAATAGTCAAGTTTTTATTGTATTCTTTTAATATAGTTTAAATTACCAAGTGGTTTGATATTAAAAACATCAGTTTATCAACAACAGAAGTTTATAAATCTCTATCTGACTCCGTCAGAAGCTGATAAGACAGCAGCTGGTCTTTGTGGACAAGTTGGCAGTGCTTTGTTTTATACTCGAGAAGGAGGCACAGTGGGTTATGTAGATCGTCCTGGGATGCCAGTCTTCTCAAACTCTTGGAAGTAAGCTTAGCTTTTGATATACAGTTTTCACCAAGTGTAGTATTTCCCTCCAGTATAATTATATTATGGCCTATGCTAAATTCGTCTGTGGGAAATAGGTGGTCCTGTGGTCATTACTCTTTTCTTGTGGTTATAGCGACTAACTGGATGGAACAAGATCAACTAAATTGTTGATCGTATCATGGCCAATGTAAGTTCCAACAGCGGTCTCTCTTTCAATCTGGTGGTAATATTTATTAGGAAGTTTGTGCCTCGTCTCCATTTTAACTCTTACTTCCCAACGGCGAAGTCACGGATCTAGGCGTATATTTTTTTTTATGAGGTGCGAATTATGATTATTTTCCTTATTACAGAGTTACAACAGGAATGATTGATTTATTTTCCAACCAGATTACAACCTTGACTCCGATACAAACTGGCGGCTTCTTCTGTAAGTGCAGTATTCCTGAAAGTGCCACGGAACCTGTCTTCTCGTGTGAGAAAAGCGCCGACGAGTGTGTTACTATTACCTCCACAAAACCAGTTGATAGCTGCAAAGTTGGAGAAATTGATATCGAGTCTCTACCTGATGCTAATTTAGAGTCACCCAATGATGGACAACGCTTTGAGCAAATGCTTGCTCGTCGTAAACGAGATTCTCATAGTATAGCTAAAAGGGTTAGTTCTTGTACTAAATATTCATAATATGTTTATTCAAAAAATCTCAAAAATCAAAGTTATTTGATTATATGGTGAATGTGATGTTGATTATACGTCCGTCCGTCCACAATTGCTCGTAAACACTCTACAAGGCACAATTCTTGACTGATTTCGACGAAACTTGGTATGGTTGTTTGTAATCACCCAAGGATGAACCCTATTGAAAATCAGACGCATCGAAAAATATTTACAATGAGTTATTGCCCTTGTTCTTGAAACGCTCGTAAACACTCTAGAAGGTGCAATTCATGACGGATTTTGATGAAACTTGGTATGAGTGTTCGTAATCGCCCAAGGATAAACCCTATCGAAAATCAGAAAAATTGAAAAATATTTAGTATGAGTTATTTCCCTTGTTCTTGAAAACGCTTTCAATTTTTAGCCTGTAAACACTCTAGAAGGACCAATACTTGACAGATTTTGATAATATTATTCAGTATCACCTCAAAAGTTCAAAAGAAGTGTATGTCTGAAGGTTGAATATTTCATTACTGCCAGTAATTTTCTGGTAATTGTTACTGTACTGCCAAATATTTTTTTTTAAATCAAAGCTGCCAGTGGGCGTATTTTACCTTGCCTGGCAAGCTATCTTATGACTTATATGCCTATTTTGCTGAATATGATTTTCAACTTTAATTTCTGGTGACACTACAACAGTCATATACCTTAACTGTAAAAATAATCAAGTTTATCTATCAGGTGTCCTATCCTTTGCCTCGTGCTTTGTAATTCGAGATGGTATTTCGCCTGTGGTTTGGTTTGGATCATTCATCTGTAGCAAATCATGAGACAACTTTGAGAATGAATCATGGAATGTTTGTATTACAGGGTACTTCAGCAACGTCATGGAGGAACGGTTGGACTCAAGATACTGCCACTGACTACTGTAATAATTTATTCAGCAACTCTACGTTTGTTTATAAATGTAAAACAAGTGCAGGTGTAGATTTAACACCCGCAAGAAAAAATTGTGTTCTTGACATTGAGGTGGGTATTGTATATATCAATACATTAACAAAATGAGATGAAACAATTTTATGTCATGACAAGATGAAAAGATGAGCAATATTATATGCCATATGAATCCGCTTTTAGATACTCTAAATTATATCTCCCCTCCCCCGTCCAACCCATACTACCATTGTGATAAATCTTATGTCAGATCCTGTGGGATCTTTTTTAGCTTAAAGGGTTTCGTACCACTGGCAAGGTGACGCTCAGGTTTAGGATATATCTTGAACCCCTCAATCTCAATCTCTGCAAACAAACTCACTGACTGGACCACGGCTTCCGATACCAGTCGAAGACTGAAATGAAAATCTTTGTATGGGAACATATTGTGTGCTTACGGTATCGGGTTTAATAATTCACTTGATAATGCATGTGTCGTTTTAGTATATGGGAGATATAAGTTATGCTTTGGTAGCTATTGACACCATAACCAGTCAATGTGTACAGGAGGTAGCTTTCAATCCAGAATTACATAAACCTAATGGTGGTAAGCCCTCCGTCTTGGAACAAATCAAAGAAGTAGCTTGTCCATTACAGTGTTCCTTGCAAGGAACATGTGAGAATGGTAGGTGTCTTTGATAGGTAACGACGGTAACGTTTAATTTACTCTTTGAAAATAAGAATTGAATCATGATATTGATAAGAAAATGAATTTAAGACATCGACTTGTGTGCCAACTGGCCAAGACAAAAGTATTTGCAATTAAGAGGTGAAATTGTTTTTGGGAACTTTAGCCCGCCTTTGACTGAAGATTAGCCTCCTTGAATAGTATGACCCTTTTGTGGCCGTAGAATCAAAAATCGATAATAAGAACTGACAAGACAACATTGATTACGATATGATTGTTCATTTCAGGAGTATGTAATTGTGATGAAGGGTTTGCTGGTGTTGATTGTGCTACAGATCTGAACGTAGTACCACAAATAGCCACATTAGAAAAGGGCGGTAAATGCAATGTTATGAATGGTACATGTACACAAGTATCAGTTTTCGGGGGTGACTTTGTCGATCACGACACCCTCAGATGTAAAGTTATAAAGCGTGAGGTAAGTTTAATGTTCTTCATCTAAATCAATCCAGTGATCTCCTAGATGACCATATAAAGAAGCTGAAGCCTACATTTTGTAACTGTTGTCTCCTCTTTTTGACTTACAAACCTTTTAGCTAGTTTGAATTGAAAATGCTACGGATGAATATTGTCAAACGTCAGATTCTGAGCAGTAGCCTATGTGAATTCAGTGTATGTTTATGATCAGATGTTCTGTAACATGTAGTTACAACAGAGTCATTAATCATTCTTTACACAACTCTATAGCAAATAAAGTTAATTTTAAACTGTTTTATTATTAGAAGCTGTTTGTCGCAACATCCATTATTATTATAACTCTTCTAGTTGGACGTAGATGGATTCTTTAAAAAGATATCAGAAAATGAACACAAACCAATGGTCAAGAGTATTGGTGAGGTTGTCTGTTACTTGAGTAAAAATAGAAAGGAAAGAAACACAGTTGAAAGGCCTGAAGTGGAATTTGTGACTGTATATGATATATATGTCAGTAATAACGGTGCCAACTACAGTCAGTATAGAAGTATGGCTCTGTTCAACTCTGATTGTCAGACCTGTTCTATAAACGGTGATGTAGTATCTTGTAATTATACTGGCGATGTAAGTAGCCCTTATTTGAACCCATTTTCACAATGTCAAGGTATTGCGAACTGTGTCTTATACCTTGGCTGTATGTTTCTAATGGACACGCACTATATCTGTATCATAATGGAAGTGAGACCAGGGGCCCAATCCTTACCTGCTTTTTAAACTGAATAACGCTATTTTATCATGTTTAAGGGTAAATATTGTATGTCCGGTGGTCAATGTTATGCTCATGGTGACATGCATAAAGAACACAAGTGTTACAAGTGCATGATTGAAGTGACAGAGAGTGAAATATCAGGCACTTCGAACGAGTACGAAGTTCGAAGTTGGGACAGAATAAGAGGTAACATAATAATTATTTTTTCTATCGTCACCAGCACTTGAGTCAAAATGTATCATTCTGTTCAAACGTCAAAATTAAAATTCCTGTACGATAGCTTTACAATATAATCCCTGTAAGGTAGCTTCATATTACAATTACTGTAAGGTAGCTCTATATTACAATCCCTGTAAGTTAGCTCTGTATTAAATCTTGTAAGGTAACTCCTCCACATTACAATTACTGTAAGGTAGCTCTATATACTGTAAGGAACCTCTACATTACAATCTTGTAAGGTATCTCCACATTACAATTACTGTAAATTAGCCCTGAATTACAATCCCTGTAAGGTAGCTCCACATAACAATTCCTGCAAGGTAGCTCTATATACATTTACTATAAGGTAGCTCAACATTACAATTACTGTAGGGTATCTCCACATTACAAATACTGTAAGGTAGCTCCACATTACAATTCCTGCAAGGTAGCTCCACATTACATTTACTGTAAGGTAGCTCTACATTACATTTACTGTACGGTAGCTCCACATTACATTTACTGTAAGGTAGCTTTATATACAATTACTATAAAGTAGCTCTACATTACAATTACTGTAAGGTAGCTCTACATTACAATTACTGTAAGGTAGCTCTACATTACAATTAATGTAAGGTAGCTCAACATTACAATTACTGTAAGGTAGCTCTACATTACAATTACTGTAAGGTAGCTCAACATTACAATTACTGTAGGGTAGCTCTACATTACAATTACTGTAAGGTAGCTCAACATTACATTTACTGTAAGGTAGCTTTATATACAATTACTATAAAGTAGCTCTACATTACAATTACTGTAAGGTAGCTCCACAACACAGTTACCGTAAGTTAGCTCCACATAACAATTGCTGTAAGATAGTTTTATATACTACTACTATAAGGTAGCTCCATATTACAAATAGTGTAAGGTAGCTCCACATTGCAATTACTGTAAGGCTGCTCCACATTACAAATACTGTAAGGTAGCTCCACATTACAATTATTGTAAGGTAGCTCCACAACACAGTTACCGTAAGTTAGCTCCACATAACAATTGCTGTAAGGTAGCTTTATATACTACTACTATAAGGTAGCTCCATATTACAAATATTGTAAGGTAGCTCCACATTGCAATTACTGTAAGGCAGCTCCACATTACAAATACTGTAAGGTAACTCCACATTACAGTTATTGTAAGGTAGCTCCACATTACAATTACTGTAAGGTAGCTTTATATACTACTACTATAAGGTAGCTCCATATTACAATTACTGTAAGGTAGCTCCACATTGCAATTACTGTAAGGCAGCTCCACATTACAATTACTGTAAGGTAGCTTTATATACTACTACTATAAGGTAGCTCCACATTACAATTACTGTAAGGTAGCTTTATATACTACTACTATAAGGTAGCTCCATATTACAATTACTGTAAGGTAGCTCCACATTGCAATTACTGTAAGGCAGCTCCACATTACAATTACTGTAAGGTAGCTTTATATACTACTACTATAAGGTAGCTCCATATTACAAATACTGTAAGGTAGCTCCACATTGCAATTACTGTATGGCAGCTCTTCATTACAATTACTGTAAGGTAGCTCCACATTACAATTACTGTAAGGTATTTCCACATTACAATTACTGTAAGGTAGCTCCACATTACAATTACTGTGAGGTATATGCATATTACAACCTGTGTAAGGTCGCCCCATATTACATTTTACTGTGAAAAGCTCAACATTACAATTACTGTAAGGTAGCTCAACATTACAATTACTGTAAGGTAGCTCTATATACTACTACTGTAAGGTAGTTTCACATTACTATCCTTGTAAGGTAGCTCTATATGTCTATTCATATAATGTAACTCATGTTGCAATCGTTTAGTGCGTCTCAAAGTCATAGCGTCTGATAACGATCCCGTTAAGTAAGCTTCTTTCCATGGTAGGTTTATAGAATCTCCTGCTTTGATTCGCATTAACATAATTATTTTAATTCACTACTTGTAGAGGGTGACTGCAGTGAGGAAGGAGAAGAGAATATGTTATGGATAATTGGAGTAGTATTTGGTATTTTAGCTGTTTTTATAATTGGTATTTTGATTGTCTATTGTTTCAAGAAAAGGTAAATATTCTGTTTAAAGTGAATTCTAATCTGATTATTGTCAGATGTAGATGCTTCTGAAAAACCTTCCACATCTGAACGGTTTATAACTGTGTCTATCCCAAGAATCTTTCATAATCATTTTTCATAATCATTTCCATAATCTAGATCTTCTACATATCACCTTTGGGTGGAATCTGTATGTACATCTTGACGTTAACCAAATATGACTTAACCATTTATATCTTAAAGAATATCAATTGTGTGCTTTTATATTTTTCAGAAGTAAAGGTTCTGGTGGTGCCTCGTGGTCTAAGAATCCCAGAGCATAATAAAGATGTGTCGAATTCAATGAATCTTTGTCATGTATAACAAAGATGCGAAATTAATTACGACCAAGTATACTTTCAACTTTTAAATCTGTTCATGCCATGTCCTCAAGCCCTAGAGATAGACAGCATAAGAAACCCACAAATATCACACAGAGGAAGTGCTTTTACATAAGACTATGTTTTTATAACCATTTAACATTTTTTTTTTATTTTGTCCAAATGATATTTTGTTGTGATAAATTTTAGATAATGTATATTATTATCAGTATGTGCATTTCTAGAGTTGTTTTATTTTAATCATATCGTAACATTTCACATAGTATATATTATTACGTAATGTTAATTTTGTTCATTACCGTTTTTCTAATTTGAATTTGCTCAAGACGATGTAAATGTTAATTTAATTGATTTGGTTTCAGTTGTAGTAGATTTATTAATTTGCTGTGTTGCTGTAATGAAAAACCTTTACTTTATCTGGCCTTACTGTAGTTTAAAACTTATATATCGGTTACGTAACTTATTCGGTACACGCCTTACCAAGTACATTACTTATAACGTACTAAACATGTTGCTGGTTTTATCAATCCCGCACTGCCCATGTTAAAGGTTGATAGTTCTACTGATTTTCCCATTCAATTAAGATATAGTTCCGAATAATGTTTTCTATCTTTTTTTGTTGTTGATATATATGAATTTTTGAGTGGCCACAAAATACTACAGGTGTTGTATCTCCACCGATATCATCTTCACAATGCCAAGCTATTACGATCTTCGGCTTCTACCATAACTCCGATAGACTCCTATTTTAACGTCTCTAAACACTAAGCAATAATGTCAATAGTCTTTCTGTCTAGGGCTCTGATTGGCTGTATTCGCTGACGTACAATCCAATCATTCCTTGATATTAGAAATGTGGCTGTTGGTGTCAAGGTATAAGCCGAAGATGCACCGATATGAGCAATATGGATATAATCATCAAATATGCCTGGTAAATATCAGGTCTAATGAATGTCTACAGTTCATATGCTAGTATTACATGTACATAGTTTACTAGAATCTCAACAAATTGTATATGAATAGTGCTATATTAAATACATTTAGATTTTTTATCATCTAACTTTTAATTAAAATATCTAATACAAAGTTTATCACATTATTGTTGTTTTTGTGTTGTCATGGGTGCAAGAGTCTGTTAACCATGATCACATCAGGCAGTTAAGCTAATAAAATAATATATGTATTTTGATTCATTAAAATATCAGGGCATTTGGTAGACATCAAAGATCGTCAGCAAAAAGCAAACAGCATAGCTTTGATTGGAAATTCCGATATAAATATGCCTTTGCAACGGTCATTTTCTATGTCGCCAATTAAGTCATTTATGTAGTTAGAGAAAAGCAGTGGGCTAAGCATACAGCCCTGACTGATCACTTTACTAATTACTGGAACCTAAAGTTTCTAAACTAGAAATGGCAAGTCAAACACGAAGCCTCTACACGGCCATTTTTGTCATAGTCCACACTGAGGGGGGTGGGGCAAAGATGACCTGTCTTACTGGCAACTCAAAAAAGAAGCCTCTACAAATGGCCATTTTTTTCACAGTCCAGAATGATGGGTGTGGCGCAGATTTGTTTTTTTTTACGGAATGGACATAATCCCTACTCCAAGGTGCCTTCAGACGTGTGAATAATAAACAAAAGTTCCAATATACTGGTATTTTCTAACTGTGTTACTGACTAGTCAACATGACAATTTTTTTTTACGAAGGGGTCCTATTGTGAATGGAATCTTTGATGCCAGCAAGGAAAAAAATAAAATGTGTCCGAGTAACGAACCACTGACTCAGTCAACAAATTAAGCAAACGTTAATAAGATTCTTTTATAATAATAAGATTGTTTTTATTCATGTTGATGGATGGATTTTGACACGATTGAAAAATGCTTTATTTTATAATTTTTATATAATATAACTTGTGCTCAATAATATCAGAACAAATGAACGTTGGTGTTTTCTTGACCATAAGAATTGTTTCAACGTGTATTTTGAACTCATCGTTTGCATTCCGTAACATCTTTTTCAATCGATGGACAATCCAGTAAGAAGAATTTATCGTTTTGGACATATAGTGACGTCATCTTTGTTTATATTGAATACTTGGTTGTTTTCATCGTATATCACCGTTTTACAACTGAAGTAACATTCCTTATAAACATTGTATCACAAAGTATAGCCCTTTATCGTGCTATATTGCTGTATTAACCCAGGATGTCGTTTTAAACTCCACGCACTGTCAGAGAAGCTAAAATGCTTCGCGGAAACGCCAAGAGAAAAATAACCAATCTCGTTAAAGATGGACTCTCCCTTTTACGAAGGGATTCCCTGTGATGAAAGTAGTGTATGAGCTTATAGATTGGTCGCATGGGGATTTCCCATTCCATTTTATTTCATTTCATGGGGAAAATGCGACCAATCTATAAGCTCCCAAAAAAGACCTAAATTCCCTACATTTCATAAATTCTTACAGCAAAACATTCTACATTTCATAAAACATCCTACATTTCATAAATTCTTACACCAAAAAACACCTTCAATCAATTTCCTACATTCCATCAAAAAAAGCATATTAAAAATACCCTTATATAAAATAACATCCTTGTTTCGCTTAATATCCGGGTTTTGAATAGCCTAGTTTTAAATAATGTTATTTTTAGTCTAGAAACTTCTAGAAAAGGGAGATTACTCTTTTTGGAAACACAATTTCTTGGTTAAATTAACTCATTTAAAAATAGGATGAGTTTAATTCTAAAACACGAACAACACGGATTCGAAGATTATTCGGGCGACGGTATCTTTTCTTCATTATTTTCTCTAGGTACAACAATAATTCCAAAAGTAGCTAGCTTTGTTTCAAACAACAAATCACTCATTTCAACCGGAGCGAAAGCCGTCGGCTCAATCGCGCAAGCGGGAAAGAGTATAAGCGACGCAGTGAAACAATCTGACGAATTGAAAGAATTACAACTAATAAGGGATCTGCGAAACAGGAGATTAGAAGAAAGGAAAGGAAAAGGTTTTAAAGTTATAGGATAAAAATGATAGTCGCTCACGCTCCAAAAACTTATTTCGGTTCAGGAGATATACAAGAATCATTGGGTTCTCTTCCTGGATTTCCATGGGCGAAATATCCCAGAGAAAAACATCTTCCCGGTCATAATTACACCGGTCCAGGTACTAGGCTAGATCTGCGATTAGACGAAAACGATAAACCCAAACCAGGGGAAGAACCAGTCAATAGAGTTGACGCCGCTGCGCTTAAACACGACATACTATACAGAAACAAAGACATAAACTTCAGACACGAAGCAGACAAATGATAATCGAACTTGAAAATATTCCAAATCCAACTTTCAAAGAGAAAATGGAAAGAGCATTAATCATAAAACTCTTGAAAGCAAAGATGAAATTAGGCATGGGATTAGCGGATAAAATTCACAAAGAATTTAGAAAAACTAAAAACTTTTTAAAAGTTAAAGTGTTTGAAAAAGATGAAATATGGTCAGCCGATTTAATTCATATGCCAGTCGAAAGAAGATTTAAATATTGCTTAACAGTTATAGATTTGTATACGAGATATGCTTGGGTTATTCCTTTGAAAAACAAAACAGGATTATCAGTCAAACACGTATTTGAAACGATTATGAAACAATCTAACTGACATCCAGAAAAACTGTGGGTAGATAAAGGAAGTGAATTTTATAACAAAAATATGAAATCTCTGGGATTTGAAATTTACAGCACGCATAACGAAGGTAAAGCTGCAGTAATAGAAAGATTTAACAGGACTCTAAAAAATAAATTATTCAAAAAGTTCACGAAATTGAAATCTCAAAAATGGCTTAAAATATTACCAGGGGTTGTGGATGAATACAATAACAAAATTCATTCATCTATAGGTGTCACACCAACACAAGCCACCAACAATCCAAATATCCACAGCACATCACCTCCGACATATGAATTAATCGATCAAGACAAAGAACAAATCATAGGTAGGTTTTATCAAAACGAACTTCAAAAAACTGACTTTTAAAAATGAATGAATTTCTTGATAAATATGGAAGTGATGCAACCACAAACTTTCAACTTATGAGATGGGCGAATGAGTTAAATATATCACCGTTTTATTATTGTATGAGAGATGAAATAAATGATCTGAAATATAAGAAAGGTAAATTTTACGCTATAACAAATATACATACTTCCGATCAAAAAGGAGTTCATCATTCTGCTTTGTACAAAGACTCTGACTTATATTTCTTCGATTCTTATGGATTAGAACCCACTGAAGAGATAATCCAATTGACTAATAAACCAATCAAATGTTCAACATTTCAAATTCAATTACCGGGACAAAAGTTTTGTAGTCAGCTTTCACTTTGGGTTTTATATCAGTTGAGTTTAGGAAAACAGTTCGAAGAATTGTAATAAATTTAACTCAATAAAAATGGCGAACAAGTTTGGATTAGGTTCTTTATCTTTAGAAACTAAAAAACCTAACACTACAGCGTGGATAAATAAAGCGAAACCTTACTTTGTGGATCAAATCGGAGACACTCTTCAAGGTGATTTAGATATGAACAATTTTAGCATAACTAATTTAAAGTCTCCGGAAAACGATAATGACGCCGTTCACAAGAAATATTTGCGGGAACAAATAAATTCAATTGAAGTAAATAAAAACCATTTAGAAGATAAAATAAGTAATGTGAAAAGATTCTTCAAACGTCAACTAAATAATAAATTCCAGATGAAAATGAAGATAAGTTTCAACAGGATTTAAATGCTCTGGAAACTAAACTTAACAGTGAATTACAAAAAGAAATAAGAAATATTAAACAACAAATACAAAACATAGATGATAGCGAAATCAAAACCTATATTCAACCACAAATACAAAACATAGATGATAGCGAAATCAAAACCTATATTCATCAACAAATACAGAACATTGATGATAGTGTTATTCAACAACAGATAACCACTATTAATAACCTAGTTTTGAAACAAGACATAAATATAGTCGCATTAGAAAAGCAATTCAAGAATAAATCATATTATTTCAATCTTCCATTTAGAAATTTGAGTGATGAAGATGCTTCTTACTGATAATATTGATAGATTACTTTCCCCCAAAATATTTTTGATTCAGATGATGATTTTTATTCAATACCTTTTATTTTTCGAAGAAAAGTTATAATTGAAATAACTTTTCCTTTTCAGGTAAAAGTTGATTCATTATTCTTCAAACAACACTCACGTATATCTAATGAAAAATTTAACGCTAAAAAAGTTCTTCAGTTTATCAATGGTACAAAAAATGTAGAAACTAAAGAATTAGAAATTAACGACGAAAACAACAAGGTTAATCACTTATATGAAATTAAAACGAGTGGAAAATATATAGATAGGTTTAGAATGTTAATCATACCAGATAATGAAGAAGATGAACTTATATTGACTCAATTTGATATGATATTGGAAACGCAAACTCCACCATCAGTAAGTATTATTAGAAATCTAGAACCACAAAAAGAAGGAAATATGAGTTATGAGTTTTTACGAACATCAGACTTTGAATACGTAAAACTATATTTTGTTAATAATGATATATTTACCTCAATTGATATTCATAAAACAAAATTTTTTAATACCAGCAATAAGAGATGATGATGCATATGTTAATATATCAATCTCTATTGGAAAACCAAATTTTCAGTTCATCTGAATAAGATTATTGATTCGAAAGAACAAATATCGTTAGTATAAGTTATTATTGATGATAGTAAACACATAGTAGCTTTATCAGAAATTCACTTAATTTAATTACCTAAAAAATGGAACTCGAAAGTAGACAACAATACATGATAGAAAAACAAAACGAACTAAAACAAAAACTAAAACAATTCAACAAATGTAGAAAAACATTAGCCGCGTTCACTGCCGTTCAAACTTCATTTTGTGGTTTGATTACTTTAGGTTTTACATCAAAACAGAAAGCTCATTATAAAAGGAAAACAGAAATTTTAAATACATATCTTAATAAATTATTCATTTTTTTTCGAAAGATCGAGAGAAGACAAGAACATAACAGTTGAAGAATTAGAAAAATTCAATGAAATTTTAGATAAATTTGATGTAGAAATATCATCAATAAAAGTTAAAAATTCCTAGTTAAAAATAGTTGCTCAAGAAATATGAATAAAATTGAAATTTTAGACGATGAAAAATTCATATCAAATGAACTTTTTTCCGATGAAAAATTCATATCAAATGAACTTTTTTCCGATGTTATTGACCTTGTCTCTGATGAATTTAAAACATTTAAAGGGCAAATTGAATTAGATGGAGAAATAATTCAAGATGGAAAATACAAACAATACATGATGCTTCTGATTGGTATTTCACAGGAAAAATGATTTTTCGTAAAAACAATTTCAAAGAAATAAAAAGATCAAAAAAGGGTAGTGGTGTTACCCTACTCAAAAAGATAAAAGAATATATCGGTATAAATTGTTATATACCGAGCGATGGATACTGCTTTGTAAAGTGCGTTAATCGTGTTTTAAACGAAGACTACACGAGAGATTTTCAAGATTTCATTAACAGTTTTTCAAAATCAAACAGAAAAGGAGGTATGACAACTGCTAGAATCAATGAATTCAATGAGAAATTTAATACTTATTTTCAAATTTGTATGCCCAAATATAGACATTTTCAACAAAGAAAGTATCCGAAGAATTAGATTGGGTATTTTACTTACATAAATCACATTTCTGTCTCATTAGAAGAAATAACAAAACCTTAGGCATTAAAGAAATAGAAGATAATTACGATGAAAACGTATGGAGAACTTGTAGAGATGATAATGCGATAACACAAGTTTCACCTCTAAAACTAAACGTTTTTCCAACCATTCCCGATGATTGTTTATACGCGTGGGATTGCGAAACCTATAACGAAAATAAAGCCATACCTTATTCTTGCACGTTAATTAATTTAGAAAAACTAAGAAAAATGTTTAACAGAATAAATAATCTCTTTCCAGATTTAAAGCCGACAGATCCCATTCCAGAAGAATTTTACAACAAACTCATGACTAATATAGTAGAAATATTTGTAGGTACAGATTGCATCGATCAAATGTTACAACGTTTAGGAAAAATAGATCAAAAAAGAATAACATTAATTGCTCATAACGCTAGCGGTTGTGATAACTGGATCGTGCTTAAAAATGCGAAAAAACTAAAGCAATGTCCACTAGTAACAGCTAGAGGCATTCTGTCTCTACCTTTAACTAATTCATTCACCGATGAATATTTACAGAAAAAATGGAAAAGACAAAAACAAATAATGGGCAACTCTAATTATTTGCAAAATATTAATTTCATATGTTCCTATCAACATGAAAAATCTAGTTTGGCGGCATGGGGTAATTCATCTAATCTACCGATGAATCTGAGAAAGATGGAGGATGTAGACATTGCAAAATACACCAAAGATAATTGGGAACCTTTAAGACACGAATCGGAACCTTACGCTAAAAGAGATACGTTATGTCTCGGAGCTTGTGTGATAAATTACAATCAAGCAATGAAAGAAGTTGTATTTCAGAATATTTCCAATAATCTAACGGCTCCTTCTTTATCTTTAAAGGGTTGGTATTTTTTATATCATTACGATAAAGATATGATTGAAGAAGAATGGTATAAAAGTACTAGAATGGTTCCGAAACACACCGAAAAAGAAAACGTAGAAAAAGTTTACTCACATACTCACCCTTTTATAAGATATTTTATCAGACAAAGTATTAAAGGAGGAAGAGTTTCGGCAAATCGAAAATCATTTGAAACGAATAAAATGGATGAAATTTGTAATATATTAAAGGAGTTTATTTCACAAAGTGAAAGTATTTCAACAAGTGATAATATAATTGATTTATTCAAAGAATATAGAGCTAGCACGAAAGATAAAGCGGAGGTTCATTCGAGACTTAAAAAAATAAAATGTACTAAACTAATGGCCTTTGATGCTAACGGTTTGTACGCTTCCGCCATGTCGGATTTAGATAGCGAATATCCGAGGGCGGAAAGTGGTAGACCATTTCGACAAGAAGAAAATAAAGAATTTGTTAAGCTCTTTATTGAACAGAAATTCAGACCTAGAACTGCTATTTTAAAAGTCTGGTTGGAATATCCTACCAACATGTTCTTCCAACCCATACCAGCTAATGATAAAATCACTTTCACGAATAGAATAGGTAAAAAGGAAACTGGCATTAAATCAGGTTCAGAAATGGTTTCTGTCACGACGTTTTAACATCGGTCGATATTCAAGAAATAGTGAAAGCCGGTGGACGAATTATTAAAATATTAGATGGTATAGTTTACGAAGAAAATTTTAAAACTCCACCCTATAGAGATTATATTTTAATTTTGAGAGATCTAAGAAATAAATATAAACGAGAAGGTAATATCGTAGGTAGTAATTGCATGGAATTATTAGGCAATTCGTTGTATGGTAAATCTATTCAGAAGGATATAACTACATCGAGACATCTATGGAGTGAAGCAACTTTTATAGTCAACTTCGATTCACGTGTCAAAAACTATGAAAACGTAAATGAGACTCAATACATAGTTGAGATAGAAGAAGAAGAAAAAGAAATATCTGAAACTAAATCTACTACACGACTAACACCTTGTCATTTGGGATCATTCGTTTTATCTCACAGTAAGAAGATAATGAACAATTTTATTCACATAATAGATGGATTTTATAAACCGGAAATATACTATACCGATACTGATAGTTTATACATTTCATCAATTGGGATAAATTAAATGAAGCTGGGTTGGTGTCCGAAAATGATTATTGTAAAGGAAAGGATGATTAGAGTGATGGTGGAATTATATATGGTTTATATTTAGCACCAAAAGTTAAATACATTATTATTATAACTTCCGACGGTATTCTAAAAGAAAAAAAACGTTTAAGGGTTATTCTAATGATAAGATAAGTGTAGAAGATTATATTCGATTAGATAGCGGGCATGATGTGATGAATGAATTTAAGAAAAATGGGAAAAACGTTTCACAAATGGAATAGTTATTCCAAAGGATGATGATAAACAAAATAAATTTTTTAGAGCTTATCTAAATCTCGTTAAGAGAAAGCCACCAAATAGTGAAGGAATTATGTATCCTTACAACGATGGAAAAGAATTGAACATGGATGAAAAGTATGAATTTGATGATTTTGATTATCTAACTATTCAAGAAGAGAATGAAGAGTGTTTAATTATAGAATAAATTAAGTTCTTTTGTTTTAAATGAAGTTGAATTACAATTTCCTCATTACCAAAATTTATAAACCTATTTTTACCATCTTTGATTTCCAGATTTATATCTTTAATCATAGAGGAATTAAGTGATAAATATGTCTTTTGAAGTGGTTTCTCTATAATTCTATATCCAATTGGTACATTGAATGTTGGAATGCTATAGATAATCTGACGTTTGTATTTGTTGAAAAATCCACCGTTTATCAAATTGCAGTGAATATTAATGGCATCGATATCATTTTCGATATTAGCTTTGTGTGGTGCTAAAGTGGATTGGGTGTATATTTTTTTTTATCTAAGCCTAGTAAAGTATTCAAAGAATTTTCTACATTGAAATCAACTTGACTATTAATATCAATTTTATTTTGTTCAGATTCAAATTACCTTCGAATTCAATATTGTTCATTATCTGTTGATATTTTTATTTGGTTATTTTTTTCGTTGATATTTCTAATGGAATTGTAAACAGAGAAATACTTTAATCCCAATTCATATTCTCGATTGCTATCGAGTTCGTACTCATAATCTAGAGACAATTTAATGTCTGATTTATTTGAGGTGATAACGAATAGTTGTTCTTTATTTGACATTTTTATAATCATTTTTATCTATAATACCTTTCTCTAGGAGTCTTTTTAATATGCAATTTACTTCATTATATTGTCTGTGTGATCGATGACATTCCTTCATTGCCGCTAATATTATTTGTAATCTATTGTCTGAGTTGTTGTCTGATAAAAACGTTATACCTTGCCCAGATACCATATCTTCGAATTCGTCTATTTCTTGTGTGATTGAATTGTCTTCAGCATAATCATCTGCTTCGTCAACTTCATATTCATCATCTGATTCCTCATCTTCATTTTCATCACCAATAACTTTTTTTATGTATAGATCAACTGCTTTCAATCTTCTTGTGTCGGGTCCTGACTTCCTAATTGCATGAAGAAATTTTGAGTATGCTACTAAATCCTTGTAATCGGCAATGTGAATATACCCACCATTCATTAAATCTATTAATCCTTTTGTTAATGTAAATATTAAGTCTTTTGTATCGATTTTGAATATAGGGGAATTTGACTTAAATTTGACTTTATCGTCTCTGACTTTACAATATTTGTATTTATCAATAAGTTTTTTAGTTATGCTGATTTTTTTTACCATTGAAAGTTATTACAGGTGGTGAAGCTGTTTCAATAGCTTATATTATTTTCTTGACTAAAGTTTCTGGCTACATCTTTAAGGGTGTAATTTTTACTCAATTCTTATCATTCTTCTATCTGCTATTTTATTTAAATGTTTTGCTTCTTCGAGTAGTAAACATTACCCGGTTACCCTTGTGTTTTTTCAATATCAATGTTTATATTTACTCCTGTTTTGAAAAGATGAGCTGATAGGTCAAAACAGAAGATTGGATGATTAAGTGCAAAATCTACATATTCAAACTGAGGGGGATTTCCAAATAATTCACACATATTTTTATAGTTTCTATTTCTAATTTTGCATTGGAAGCATTCTCTCCAAAGAATATCTTATCATCATTGATTTCTCTTTGTAGATGAATTTTTATGGTAATCCTATGGAAACCTTTCTGTGTTCCAACAGACCGAATAAAGGGTATAATTTCCAATTTACGTAATTACCCCACCTATTATTCTCAACAACATTGTTATACTGATTTACTCGTTTTTCGAAACCATGATTAGCTGCTCGTCCTACTCATTCTATTGTGTTTCTTGCAACAACTCTCACTCTAGCTAAATCCGCATCGTTTGGAACATTTCTTACCGGTTCTTTTAAAACACTTCCATCACCAACATCAGCCTGAGACTGAATCAAAATCTTTAGGATATAAAACTGTTTTCAACATTGTATCAAATTCCCTAGGGTGAATAGTTTCTATAGGATTTGAACCAGCTTCCAAAACCATCTCGCTAAATAAAGATGGAAAGAAATTGTTTTCTAACGTTTGTGGTACACGATTTTCATTGGGAGTTCCATCTTTAATTTTGAAATCACATCTAAAATAAGCATCGGAAAGAAGAAGCCAATTTGATAATGAATTTATTTCGAAGGTAATTCTACCACCATCACTCAACTGGGATTTAGAACCAACAGTTGGAGAGATGATAATGTAATCCTCTTTTTTCTTGTTAAATCAATAACGAATTGGATCGTATAATTTAAAGATTAGATCTAGTATGTAATTTTTATTTGCCATCTTTAAGGTTTAAAATTTGAGTAGAAATTGTGGTCTGTTTTCCAAATGATGAAATGTAGGGTGTATAGGTCTTTTTTTGAGTGGGGATTGATGGAATGTAGGAGGTAGATGTGTTTTTTTGGGGGAGATTTATGGGATGTAGGATGTTTAGGACGTCATAATACCATGATAGGGAAGACAGAATTTGAATTAGCAAAAAAGTTTTTATTTTAAATCTTCTATAAGGACTCGAATCCAATACTTTTTTGTCGACGTGTGGAAACCACTAGGTCATCGGGACCAATGAAAATAAAAATAACAACTTTGCGGATACATAATACTACCAAAGCACAAGTAAACGGAAAGTTTGCCATTCCAATTGCTGGGGCTTCAATAACAATGTTTGAGCACAATACATTTTATTGGACGGATCAATATTAACAGTAGAAATTAAGGTTAAGGAATGTGAGAATAAAAACTGAAGTATTTAGCCTTAATATGAACATTGGATCATCTTAAAGTCAGTATGGTGTACATTGTCTTCTTCTTCTAAGCTGATTTATCTGTTTGTAAAATATTGAAAAAAATAAGTTATAAGTTGCAAAAAAAGTTGGTTCATAATTATGCTTTGAAATTCTCTATTAACAAATTGGATACCAGTATATACAGTGGTGTAACCTATTTTCGTGCATATAAGGATTCAAAACCGAATTTCGACAAAGTTAAAAAACGGAACTTTTTTTTTATGTCTTAGATGTTTCCTCGGATAATCTACAAAATAATTAAAATTGGTTTGTTCCGATTTTCTCTATGAATCTCTCACTTTGACCCATATTTCATGAGTAACCAACTCGACAACGGCGGCAAAATGCGTCACCTATTTTCGTGTACGATGTTTGATTTATAAATAAGTCGAGAATGGATACCCAGTGGTATAATTAACTTCTCTTGATATTTATCTTTAATAACAATTTATTGTAACTAATGACAATTCCTTCAAAGAACCATGATTTTAAAAAAAAGTGACTGACAAAATAAGATAGCGTGATTTAATGCTAAAAATCATTGAAACAACATACGAATATGGCCCACATTGTGTTTTTTTCTGCTGACACGGAATCCACTAGTTGATCACGTGACTTCATTCGTTGGACATTCTAGCAGACGACACTTGGAATTCCGATTACATCTGGGATTAGAAGGCAATTCGGCCGATAAAAAATTGTGAAGTTTGGTAATAAGTGAAATCCGCCATTTTGTATTTGTCAAAGTATACATTAATACAGTTTACTTTGCTTGAAACTACTTGATTCATTCTACTAGCTGATATTGTACAGAAAACCCATGTTTATCAAAAAAAGCAAATGCGGAGGTCGCACATGTAAATTATTAATTCTTTCCGGAAATGCACGAAAAATAGGTTACTTGATATATATTATAATGGTCTAAGATCATGACATTCATTCAGAAATACATCAATATTAAGTAAATCTTGAAACCAAAACAAAGTGAAATAAATACAAGTTCTTATATACAATATGGTATAGTAAATAACTCAACACTAAAACATTGGTACATCAACAAAATAATGTTAGGCCAGAATCCAAACAAGTATTGATCAAATGATTTGGGTTGGCTTCAAAATGACCTTTTACTTATGGAATGTAAAATTTTAATTCAGAACACCAGATTGTCAGATTATGCCTTTCCATTTTGATTTATAATATGAGTATAAACCTACATCCACTAACAATAAAATAGTAGAATGATGTTTGTATCGATTAATTATTCAACCTGATTAAAATATCTGGATGTTTTGTTTCCTGAGCTTTCTACAATTGACTAATACATTGGAATCCATAGTCTGAATTCTATGAAATTTAGTGTAAGTGTTCAAAAGTCTTGTGAATAATAGTAGTGTGAGGATTAATCATAAAAGCAACATGGATATTGTTCATTTAAGAAAAGTTTGATAATGAATACTCAAAGCAAATTATCTTAGTTAGGGGAATTCAAATATTTCTATGTAAAGGATGAGGACCAAAAACAAGGTCAACAGAACTGTCAAATCTGTTGCTGGCCTTAAATGCCTTCCTTTTATCACATTATTACAAAAGAAGAATTATTTGAATCAATGTTCGACTGATAGGTGGCACGAACGGTGTTGTTGGTAAGGTTTTTTATCTTTCTCAGGTCTAGTCTTTGGAAATTGATTGTCCATTTAGACTAAATAGATCACACCCAGAAGGCATATCAACTGAGGTCACAGTAAGTCCATCACTCAGATCTATTGTCTTTCCTTCCTTAGCTGCCTTGTAATCCAAAAACATGTCTTTGAATGCAACAAAGTCACTAAAAGTCAGCAACATTTCAAAAATTTCTCCTTCCAAATCATCCTTCCTCTCTGCCAGTTGTCTTGTAAATTCTTGCATAGAAAAATCTGGCATTCTACCACTCAATTCCTCTTCTAAACATTTCTCTATCAAATTTATGTAATCTTTGTGAATATCGGTGTATATAAATTTATTTTCTTCTGTGTCGTCAAATTCCGAGTAGAATTTTTCTAAAAAATTATTTTGTAGAGTCTGAAATTTGTCTTCCATGATGATATCTTCGATATGACCAATGGTCAGATCGAATTTCGTGTCCACTTCGTTTGAACACGACGTGAATATTTCTTCTTCGCCAAAATCAACACACTGTAATTCAGATATTACATCGGATGCCTCCATTGCCATCTCGGTATTCGAAGCCATTTTGGAAAAAATGTTATCACTATCGACGCGTTTTGAGAAAGATGTGTTCGATTTATATTTCTGCACGTGATCTGTATACAGGTGCTAGGCCCATCCACAAGTAAAATATTAACTCACTAAAATAAATGGACTGAAAACAAACGTAACGTATTCAGATTTCATTTGTTAAAACCTTCAACATCATAGCATAATTTGTAAAAAATGTTGAGTAAATGAGAGATGTATGATCATGGTTCAAGAATCGAACGTATACTATGTCACGTGAACCGGAAACCGCCTCATCATGTTCTTTTAAAAGGTCAAGGCTGGAGAATTTACACGTTTTGCATCAGCGTGTCGAGAAAAATACATCAAGAATGGGTTTTGGTGACTTAAAATCAAAAGATGGTCTTTCATCTTTGAACACATTTTTTGCTGATAGAAGTTACATTGATGGGTACGTGCTATTTGCTCATGAAATATGGGTCAAAGTGAAGGATTCATAAAGAAAATCGAAATTCATTATATTGAATTATTCTACAAAATAATTAAGATTGGTTTATTTCGATTTTCTTTATGAATCCTTCACTTTGACCCATATTTCATGAGCAACCAACTCGGCAACGGCGGCAGAATGCGTCACCTATTTTCGTGTACAATGTTTGATCTATAAATAAGTCGAGAAAAACACGTTGTTTGGATACCAGGTGGTATAATTAACATCTCTTAGTATTTATCTTTAATATCAATTCATTATAACTAGTGACAATTCCTTCAAAGAACCACGATTTAAAAAAAAAAAAAATAATGACTGACAAACTAAGATACGTAGTGTGATTTATTGCTTAAAGTCACTGAAACAACATAAGAATATGGTCCACTTTGTGTTCCATAGAAATTTTCTGCTGACACGGAATCCGCTAGTTGATCACGTGACTTCATTCGTTAGACTACATTCTAGCAGACAACACTTGGAATTCGGATTACCGCTTGGGATTATAAGGAAATTCGGCCGATAAAAAATGGTGACGTTTGGTAATAAGTGAAATCCGCCAATAAGAAAGTTGATAATGCGCACAACAATAATTCGATATTTCCATCTAATTTATAATTGGATTATACACTTACCTAGCAAGTTTGATTAAATTCGGATAAGAAATAAGAGAGTTGGTAATGCGCATGCGCACAACAAAAATTCAATATTTCCATCAAATTTAGAATTGGATAATACACATACATACCAAGTTTGGTGAAATTCGGATAAGAAATAAGAAAGTTGTTAATGCGCATGTGCACTAATCAAATTCGATAGTTCCACCAAATTGAGAATTTGATTGTACACATACATTCCAAGTTTGATGAAAATCGGATGAGAAATAAGAAAGTTGATAATGCGCATGCGCACTATGCAAATTCGATTATTCCATCAAATTTAGAATTTGATTATACACATACATACCAATTTTGATGAAAATCGGATAAGAAATAAGAAAGTTGGTAAATTAAGTGGAGGTATCCCTTTAATGTGCTTCTGTAAGCTAACTTACAGTATTGATAATTTCAATCCACCCTAGAGCATATTTAATTAATCTAATCTAATTAGTCGATTTATCTAATATTAACCCCATGTTAAGTGAATGGGGTTTTGAATTTGCATGTAAGGCATGCATGTTATATATCATTGGAAAGCGCAGGATCTCAGCATTTTGAATCCAAAAGAATTATTGCTCTACCTTTAATAGGGCACATGTGAAGACGCTTTAAAGATGCAGAATCAACTTTCAGTGACACCCATAAAACCGAAACCACGTGTCGGACACAAAAAATATTAGCATCATGTAAAAGCTGAAGTCAATAATAAACATTAATGTAAATATCAACGTCATCCGAGGCCAAGTTCCTTTGATAGACGCATTTAAAGTTTTAAGGAAATTGCAACATTTCCTTTAATGTGACTCTGACATCCACAAATGCCACATGAATTAACACCATTTATTAAGTGCATTAATAATCTGAAAGTAGTATGGCGCTAAATCAATTAGGGTTTGAGATACATTACTGCAAAAATGCCAAATTGACCATATTTAGACTCCTATAAAATCAGAAGTTGTTGTTTGATCCCAAAGGTCAAAAGGTCATGAAAAGGTCAAGGACAGCCTTTATCGCCATGGTCAATATAAAGGTCATCAAAGGTCAAGGTCATAAGTTACAAGCCGAAAATCAAAATTATGCTTCCCATTTTTTGTAGACAGACATTAAAAGTATCGTATGAGACACAAAAGTTACGCAAATTGGATGATAAATGGCCTCTGAATAGCAATTTCTGGAATATGAGGCAAACCAAAGTGGCGGCCTACATGTTACTTCCGGTGCGATTTTTTTTAATTTAATAAGTTTGTATTAAGGCTGGTAATATAATGCATATGTTATTTTTGACATAACTCAATTTCACCGGAAGTTATACCACTGGAAGTAGTAACATCAAAACTGGAAGTGATAAAAAATTTTTGAATCTGTGCTTTTATTATTCCACTCTGCTGGCAGTCTACACCATGTGAGTTTCAAGTCAATCCACCAAATAACAACCGAAATAGTATTTTCCGATTAATTATACGGCAAAAAAAAAGTATGGAACGAATTTTCGAAAATCGAAAATTTTCAACTGCTATCATTTGTCTTTTGTTACAAGAAATACGATGCAGAAAACCCGATCAAAATCAGTTGATAGTCACGCCCGAGTCCATTTTCCGTTTGTTGCAACTTCGTGTAATGTTGCTCAGAAAATTTTCGTTTTACATTTAAGCTGGGATTAGCAACGACTTATGAAACGCCACGAAGCCCGTTTTCCCGTACCTGTTGCCGTTTTCGAGAAAACCGGCCTGCCATGGACGAAAAAAAAAAAAAAATCAATACAAAAACTTACTTACTTAATCTGAATTAATTTGGATGTATAACAGATTATGCCTTATCTTGATCTTTGAAATTTTAATTGATGCATTGTCTCATTGTAAATTATCAATCACATGATGTATACTCGCCATTGTCAATTCAATTTCAAGCCAGAAAAGATCTTCTGATTATGTGCTCATTTTATAAAAAAATTCATTAGCACTTCAATAAGGTACAGACTTCTTTATTCTTTCATTAACTGAGACCATTTTGACATTTTGGGGGATCATTTTGACCAATGATTTTGGTTGAAGTCAAAGAGTAATTTTGGGGACATTTTGACTATTGTATTTGGGGCCATTTTGACTAATTTTGACCTATATTGATTTTTCCAGTTATTCACCATCAGCTGCTGATGCTGTTGTATTCGAGGCCTTAGCTTCTGCTCCTGCTTCCAACTACCCACATGCATTAAGATGGTACAATCATATCAAATCATATGGCGATCTGAGGAAAAGGTATTTCAGTGTATTCATATAATATTCATTAGTTGGCGAATTTTGAAAACTTTGTCTTAAATCTGACAAATAGATCCTGACCTGAAAATGAAGTAATGAAGATGTGAAGTTTTAAGCACGGTAACAGTTAAATGATTTGCATTTAAATCAGTGAGTTTGTATCAGGGATACCTTTAAAAAAATATATCTGCCATATACTGATAGTTGTGCAAAATTGGTATAATTAAATATGATTGTTTTTCTAGTTTTCCCGGTACTCGTAAACCAGTTACTTCCTATGGTAATTCAACAGCGCCAGCTGCCGATGGTGATGATGATGATGACGATTTCGATCTTTTTGGAGGTGATGATGATGGAGAAGATGCAGAAGCAGCCTTAGAGGAATTGAAAAAGAAACGAGTTGCAGAATATGAAGCTAGAAAAGCTAAAAGTATGTTGACTTCTCAGGTTTTGCTTATTTTGAGATGACAAATGAAAGCAGTGATCCTATGAAAATTTACTGAAAAATATTGATTTGTTGATAAAAGATTTTGGCCAGAGTTTGGATTAATAGAGCAACATACCTGACATAGAAATTTCAAGTTGCAATTTAAGCTCAACATATTACTGCCATTTGAAATTTTTTTTTTTTTTAAATCCTTGCTATCAACGTCATAAATAATTTGTATTATAGAGCCAACTGTTATAGCTAAAAGTAGTATAATATTAGAAGTAAAACCATGGGATGATGAAACCGATATGAAAGAAGTTGAGAAGAATGTAAGGAGTATTGAAGCTGATGGACTGAGATGGGCTGCTTGTAAGTTAATGAATTAAGAACTCGGATAATAACTGGCCCCTAGTTTGAAATAGTCAACCTCAATTTAATTATCAAGATATGTTTCTCATAAGTAGAAGAATTCATTAAAATAAATCCTGTATTTTCATTAAATATTGACATAAAACTTCACTTCGTGTACTTGTTAATTAATTTCTTGATAAAACAAATAACTATTCATGTTGATTTATTTTCAGCCAAGTTAGTACCTGTTGGATATGGTATTAATAAATTACAGATTAACTGTGTAGTAGAGGATGATAAGGTACAGATTAATACTAAAAATTTATATATTTTCGTTTATGCTGATAAATAGGCTTTTAGTGTGCAAGTATCACATTAACGGAAATTTCAAAATAAAAACTTGGCAACTGGACTAGATTCGATCAAAAACACGAGGATATGAATAAATTTTTTACAAAGAAATTGTTGTGAGAAATTCAACGTTTTTCACCCAAAGGACATTTTTGACCCAGGTCATTGTAAACCAATTACATGTGATTTCCTTATTAATGTAGCTATTTTTTTTTTTTTTTTTTTCAGATTGGCACAGATTTTTTAGAAGAAGAAATCACTAAATTTGAAGATTTGGTTCAATCTGTTGATATTGCTGGCTTTAATAAAATCTAAACCCATTCTTTCACAATATTGTTCATCACTAAAAATACATATAGTCAAAATGTTAATGCACATCCTGATGGGATTGATAAAAATGAATAATCCATTTGGTTATGAACACAGTATAAGTGTGGTTTATATAAGTTCAGTACTAATTTTATCAGTTACCAACTAGTTTAATTGCAGAAACCACAGACTATCATTGGAATTAAAATGATATAAAGTGATGCTGTCCATAATTCACTTAAAAGATAGCTTGAAATGGGGGGCGTATATTGCCGTCACCTCTTTCCGTCCGTCTGTCCACAATTGCTCGTAAACACTCTACAAGACACAATTCTTGACTGATTTCGAAGAAACTTGGTATTTTATTGCCCTTGTTCTTGAAAACGCGTTCAATTTTTAGTTCGTGAACACTCTAGAAGGCACAATTCTTGACGGAATTTGACGAAACTTGGCATGAGTGTTGGTTATCACCCATGGATAAACTGTATTGAAAAACAGGAAAATTGAGAAATATTTAGTATGAGTTATTGCCCTTGTTCTTGAAAACGCGTTCACTGTTTAGCTTGTAAACTCTCTAGAAGGCACAATTGACGGATTTTAACGAAATTAGTTGTGAGTGTTTATCATTCATGGATAAAGCATATTGAAAATGAGAAAAATCGAAAAAATATTTAGTATGAGTTATTGCCCTTGATCTTGAAAGATAGCTTGTCGGGCAAGGTAATATACGCCCACTGGCAGCTTTGATTTTGAACATAAATATTTAGCAGTACAGTAATAATCACCATTATGAAATATTCAACCTTCAGTCATACACTTCTTTCGAACTCTTTAGGGCGATACTGAATAATATTGAGTATGAGTTATTGCCCTTGTTCTTGAAAACGTGTTCAATCTTTAGCTCATGAAAACTCTAGAAGACAAATATTCAATCTTCAGCGCAGTAATGAATAATAAAACCAAATTTTGTCAAAATTCGGCAAGAATCATGCCTTCTAGAGTTTTTATGAGCTACAAATTGAATGGGTTTTCAACATCAATGGCAATATCTCATACTAAATATTCTTTCGAGTCTTCTGATTTTCAATAGGCTTTATCCATGGGTGATAACAAACACTCAAGCCAAATTTTGTTAAAATCCGTCAAGAATTGAGCATTTGAGAGTGTTTACAAGCTAAAAATTGAACGCGATTTCAAGAACAAAGGCAGTAACTCATACTAAATATTTTTTGATTCTTCTGATTTTCAATAGGGTTCATCCTTGGGTGATAACAAACATTCATACAAAGTTTTGTCAAAATCCGTCAAGAATTGTCTTGTAGAGTGTTTACGAAGCAATTGTGGATGGTAGACGGACATGGATGACGGCAATATACGCCCCCCACAGGGTTCATACAGCACTTTGCCTCAAAAATTCAGACCTTTCAAGGACTTTGGGCTTTGAAATTCAAGGACTTTTCAAGGATATTAGTCTGACAGAATACACATGTACCTAACTTCTGAACTGTGAAATCAATAAAGATAGTTAATATTTGTCAGTGGGGTTAATGACAAAAATATACACAATTTGACTCAACTCAAAATTCAAGGACTTTTCAAGAGAAAATGCGTTTTTTATGGTGTTTTCAAAGACTTTTTTTGAAATCAAGGTTTTTTCAAGGCAACGGACGGAATTCAAGGCCGTGCGAACTCTTCCCCATTTCATGTGGGCGTGCAAAAAAGTATCTTTACAGTCCCTTTAAAGCTAGGAATCCCACATCAGGTATTCCAAGGGTGACCATGTTTTTGCGCAGTCCCTTGCAGTCTGCATGTTCCTACAATTCTCTGGCTCTGCCCTATACCTCTAGGTATAAAATGTCGAAACCTTTGCTTTCCTTTATACTCGCATGAAATGGAGGGTGGATATTTTTGCGTCAATTGCTCGTAAAGAAGGCACAATATTTGACTAAACTTGGTGTGAGTGTTATCACCCAAGGATGTACCTTACTGAAAATCATTAAAATTGAAAACCATATAGAGTTCTTGTCATTGTTCTTGAAAATGCAAATTTGAGCTTATGAACTCTAAACACACTTAATACTCAATTCGAGATGAAGCTTTGTTGAATTTGTTTATTATCACCCATGGATGTACCCTATTCAAATCAAAAATTGAAAAATATTTGATATGAGATATTGACCTCGGAAAAAGCTTTCAATATTTGGCTTGTAGACTAAAAGGCACGATTCTTGCCAGGTTTCGTTAATAATTCAGTATTACCCCAAAAGTTTAAAAGAAGTGTATGACTGAAGGTTGAATATTTAATACTGGTGATTGTTACTGTACTTCCAAATATTTATATTTAAAATTAAAGCTGCCACTAGGCTTATATTTCTTTGCCTGGCAAGCTGCTGTCTTTATATTTCATTCTGAAAGAATTAAGCTTACAGGCCAAGTTACTGCTGAGCAATCTGTTAACAATAAGATCAAGATGTTCATCAGGGGACTAACTTCAATGATGAGTGTTCTACAAAACATAAGCATTTTGATCAAAAGGTTTCAGTATCTTGTTAATCTCTGTCATATGAAACAATATAACCATGGCACAGTATTAAAATAGACATATAAAAGAAAACGAACACTCAATAATAAATTTCTTTTATCACCTGATTAATCTTATAATATATATGTATATAATATTAATTTTCCTATAAATAATATAAGTAATTTTAATTAATTCCATAACTGAACTAATTGAATCTTCAGATATTTTACATCTTTGGTGTGGTGATGTATTTGAAAAGGTAAAGTTATTCACATTAATGCAATTTGCATGACCAGCTTATTGGCAAAATAATTTACAACAAATTCAGAGTTAATTAAGAAAATATGATTGACAAATGTAATTTCTCGACAAAACTGTATGACATAGTAAATTATACCAGTAAATATTCAAAAGTTCTATCATAATTTATTTGACAAATTTTTAATACAAAGATTGTTGTGAAAGACAATACATATATCTTGTTCATATTCACATTGCGGGATAAACATGACAGACACATGTTTTTCACTATTAAATTATCTCTTATAAAATCAGATATTTTCTGTATCAACTTAACCTTTGAACTTAACAAGTAAACAGATTCAGAGAGCAAATTGAGCAACAAAATTATACAAAACAATAATTCTACATTAAAATAAATAACTAAAACAATCTTCTCAAGTTTTCACTGCATTTTTTGGAGGAGTTACTACTATAAATTGTGCTTGTGGATTCTTCAAATTACGTAGTCTATGTAGGTCTTTTGGTGAATTTTTAGGAGAAGCACGACTATCATTTTTGAAGTATTTCATTTGATACTTACGTTTTTTTGGTGGTCTAGTTTTAAAGATTTTCCTTTTCTCTGTAGATTTCAGAGGGAACACTTCATATTTAATATCACAAACACTTAATTCATGTTTAATTTTTTGTGGGCTGTTAAAATTAAACACGATGTCTTCATCTACTGATTTTTCTTCAACCTTTAACTCTACAAATTCTGGAACATCACTTTTTGCCAAGGGGAACAAAGCATTTCCTGTCTGATGTCTCTTACGAAGTTTTCTAGGGGTCAACTCAATTTTGTGATTGTCATCCGATTTTGATCTGCCTCTCTTTAAACTTAACTTAGATTTTTTACGGTTTGTAGATGGATTACTAGAACATGATGATAACAGAGACTTAGATACTGAACTCATAACATAATCTTCACAAGCATCAAGCCATGAGGAATCTGAAGCTTTACTAGGAGATGAATAGCTGCAATTGGGTACAAGATCATCAAAATCATTTTCATCACTAGCAGTGTCTTTGATCACCCAGTCGTAAGAATCATCTAAATCAATTTCTGATTGATCTTCATAAGATAAATTTGAGATTGGCAAGGATGCTGTGTCTTTTTCTTCAAAACCCAAAAAAGGGGCTGGATCTTGTTCACTTTCAAGTAATTTTGAAACACTTCGATCACTCAAAACTCTCCAACTTTGATTTAGCTTGTATCTCTTGCTGCCAGTCACTGAGGTAATTTCTGAGCTACATCTCTCTTTTATTTTATTGTCCACAACATTATTAGACATGTTAAATATGTTCAGATTAGAGTCTGATTCAGTTGTTTTAACTGATTTAATATGAGAGCCAGATTTTGGCGTGATTGAAACCTCATGTAATTCACTGTGCAGTGACCTTCTTGTAGTGTTAAAATCAGTTGATAAAGGTTCATGTGAAACATTTCCTGTTGATTTAGAAGCACTCAATTTATGGTATGATTGTTTTTGTCTTTTTACTCGACGCCTTAGTGTGGATGAAACCTCACTTCGTGGAGAGACAATATTCTCTGAACCAGCTTCTGGTAGGATATCCGATTGAAATCCTGTTACTGACAAATTATCTTGGTTTCTTAATGCAGGTGACTTTTTGAAGACTGGTGATGGATTAAAATTGATTGGTATTTCATGACATTGTTCACAATTTCCTTGAAAAATGCTTTTATTTGTTTGTGCCATAATTTTTAGAGGTTCAAGTTCAACAATCACATTTTGAAAAAGCTTTGAATCTTGACTACAAATTGTATCACTGGTTCCTTGAAACTTGTTTTTTTGACTATCAGGCAGTTTTGTGATTCCAGACATTTGAGAAATCAATGAATCTTTATTTTCACTTTCTGTATTTGTATCTCTGAATATCTGTCTATTCTTACAGACATAATGTGATCTATCACTTTCAGAAGTCTCTTTTTTTTGGGAATCTGATGAAATGATTCTCTGGGTGAACATTGAACTTGGTTTTGAACGTTTTTGATTTTTTCGCACAACTTGAGAACTATTACTCACAGAGTTAGATTTAGCAGTGTCCTCAGAAGAAACAGACACCATATTTTGTGAGGAAAGAGATTTTGAACTCCTACGAATCTTTCGAACCAATTCAGAATGTTCACTGTTGCAATAATCAATTCTATTTTTCTCACTGGAACAAGCAGCATCCTCCGAAGAAGCAGTATTCTGAGTTTGGGAGGAAAGATGCTTTGGATAACTACAAATTTGACATATTTGTGATTCATCACTTTTATTAATTTCTTGAATTTCAGATGAGTGTCGTTTAGATGACTGGTGTTTCACATGATCACCAGATGAAACTGATGTTATTGTTTGAGAGGAATATGACATGGAATATCTGACATTATGTCTTTGTTTTGAAGAAATTGAAATTACAGATGCAGATTTGGGATTCCTTATATTCTGATCTTCCACATGTTTTGAAGCTTTACTCTGTGATGCAATATTCCCAATGCTTTTACTTTCAGATGTAAGTTTCTGCTTCAATTTTCCATTTGCTTCTACTTCATTTGTTTCAACCTCAGCTGCACTTTTAGTTGAGGTTTTTTTGCTTTTTTTTGTCACTTCAATCAACGAATCGAATATCATAAAATCATGATATTGAACCTCCATTGAATTTCTGGATTTTCGGCCACCTTTTTCTGAAAATTTTAGGCACTTTTCATTCATGTCTATAGGGAAAATGGATATGGGTGTATTTGGAGCTTTGTTGATTGGTGATGATGCACTTAGTTTATCTAATTGTTGAAGAATAGTTTTGGTTTGTTTTAAGGGCTGTGATGAAGAATGTCCACCCTCTGAAGTATTCACCTTTTTCTTCACCTTTTTAATAGAATGTTTTTTTATTTTGCACAAATTGTTGAGGTTAAGAATTCTGTTCTTTGGAGATTTTTTAGCCAACTGTTTTCTGGCAGATCGCACTTTACTTTCGTAGTAGTCTGATGAAATGTCATTTTTAGAGTTAACATTCTTGATTGGAAGGTTGGTATTTGGCATTGTCACTTTTTCTGTTTTAGGTTTGAAAGTCACTTCCTCAGAACTAGGATGTGAATCACTTCCTGAATAGTCAGAAGAGAAATAAACACTTTTAGATATACCACTTTCACTATCCTCGGAGCATTGCTTTTTGATAGTTTCACCTTCTTTCTCACATCGAATTTTATCAGGGCTTGTTGAGGCAACTTGAAGACTGCCAATCGCCATGTTACGTATGATCAACTTCTTCTGTTTGATAAGAGATAGGGGAGGTAAGTCTGTTTTTGCTGATTTACCACCAATATCGTCTAAATTAATAGTATTCATTACAACTGAACAAGGTGAAATCAATGCTTGTTTTTTCTCATTTGGTGTACACAAGTCATCTACAAAACTGGTAGTCTGTTGACTTGGATGAACTTTAACACCACTAATACTCAAAGAATGTCTGGACGAAATCAGACGTCTACAAATATCATTTTCTTTTAAATGTTCTAAATCTTTGGATTTTCTTGGAGTCATTGATCTAGAACGTGTTTGCTTTTGTGGGGATTTTAATTCATCATTCAATGGTGTTTCTTCAGTGGATCTGAAAGAGAAATTATTTAATTTGTTTTGAAATTTCATTGTTAGGTGTTTATACACTCAAATTCATATACACATCCATAATAGATAGTTATTTAATCTATACAGAGAAATTGATTTCAGATGGGTTGCCTTATTTTCATTTATGAAAATGAAAATGCTAATACTCATATGAATAGAGAGTAGAGGTGTTCTAATGACTTGGAAAAATACCAGTTTGTCTCACATGTCCATAATAAAATTCATATTTATCTAAATTAGAAGAGAGTGACCGATCAAAAAGGGTCAAAAAGTCTTTTTTTGTTTATCCAGACTGTATATACATGGACATTTATGATTGGTTAAAGCTCTTATTTATATGCAATAAGAATACATGTTAACTCATTAAAAACACTTTATCAAATACTTTTATGAATTTGACACTAAGAAATAAGGAAACCCATCTTTAAGATAAATATAATGTAATAAGTCTAATTTCACAGTCAACTAACCTGCTATCCCTTTTCTTTTCATTATTTTGAACACAATGACGATGTAAAACTTTCTGTAGAAATTTAGCAGGACTATGAACAGTTTTTATAATTAAATCTAAATGTTTAAAATTGTTTTTATCTCTTGCAAATTGTCTATGTTCTTCTTCCCGTAAATGCTGAAAAATAAATCACAACCAATCAGATTGCACATATTGTTTTGTCCATTTATTAGATGCTTTATGGGTATTGAACGCACATTAATACAGTCCTGGGTATTCAATGGTGTTTTATAACCATAACATTTATTCTGGTTACTTCATGGAATTTTCATGAAAACAAAGATAATTTTTTTCTTATCTTGTAAAGGCAAAGAAAAGCTTTGATTTTGAATGAAAATATTTAGCAGTACAGTAAAAATCAAAAGTTTGAATATTCAACCTTCAGTCATACACTTCTTTTGAACTTTTTGAGGCCATACTGAATAATATTATAAAGTTTCTTCAAATCTGTCAAGAATTGGGCCTTCTAGAGTGTTTATGACCATTTGTGGACCGACTTACAGACACGGGTGAAGATTTCATGTGGGCGTATAAAAAGCAAAGATAGCTTGCCAGGCAAGGTAATATACGCCCACTGGCAGCTTTGATTTTAAAAAAAAATATTTGGCAGTACAGTAACAATTACCAGTATGAAATATTCAACCTTCAGACATACACTTCTTTTGAACTTTTTGAGGCTATACTGAATAATATTATCAAAATCTGTCAAGAATTGGGCCATCTAGACTGTTTACAGACTAAAAATTGAACGCGTTTTCAAGAACAAGGGTAATAACTCATACTAAATATTTTTCGATTCTTCTGATTTTCAAAAGGGTTCATCCTTGGGTAATTACAAACACTCATGCCAAGTTTCGTTAAAATCCATCTAGAATTGTGTCTTGTAGAGTGTTTACGAGCAATTGTGGACGGATGGACATGGGTGACGGCAATATACGCCCCCCCCATTTCATGTGGGCGTATAAAAATTATATTAAGATCTCATAGCTCCTATTGCTAACATGAATGTTCTTATACCTTGTCTAAACTATCATATTTCATCTGGCAGCATTCACAATAGCCTTGTTTCTTCTTCATCTTTTGTCGTTGTTTTAAATCACCAGCTGTTAGTATTGGCATACCAAATAATTTACTGGAACTAATTTCTTCATTTTGGTTACGTTTGCTACAATACCAAAATAGTACTTTGAATTCATATAATTTGTATAAATCTCATATGATGCAGTCAAACATAACAAGAAATGAGAATGGTGACTGAGGCCAGTCTAAAGTTCCGTTTGTTCTTGTTGATTTGCGAGTTAACAGTAGTGTTGAAACGGTTAATTAGTTAACCAATTTCAGTGGGATTTTAGGGGTTATCAGGCCTGATTTGAGATGCTCCGTTCACCTCTAATTTTGTTGAAAGAATAGTCAGATATCAAAAGAATACACTGTACTGCAGTTTAGTTTAAGCTGTATTACCGCTGTAAGAGTAGTTTTTGATCGAACTTGACGGAGATCTCATAAGTATATACATGCATACCAAGTTTCATCAAGATCAGATTAAAGCTGTAGCCTCTATCGTGCATACAAGAGATGTGGATAGACCGACAGGGGTGATGGCAATATTCCTCCATGTGGGCGTATAAAAATCAGTTGAAAACTGTAGTCTCTATTGTATTCACAAACAAATATTAACACGTTTTTCCTAAGTCAAGGGCAATAACTCAAAAATTGTTCATCCAAAAAATTGTCAAATTTGAACTCGACCAAGATCTCATCAAAATACATCATCACATTAAGTTTCATTGAAATCAGTTGAAAACTGTAGTCTATTTTGTGTTCACAAACAAATTTTGATGCATTTTTCCTCAATCAAGGGCAATAACTCAAAAAAAGTTCATCGAAAAAAATCGTCAAATTCGAACTTAAATAAGATCTCATCAATATACATTATCACATCAAGTTTCATTATAATAAAATCTGTAGTCTCTATTGTGTTCACAAGAAATGTTGACGAAACAATAACTCCACGTCAGTTCTGTTTTATTTGAAATCCAGGGAAATTATATTGACAAGAGTTAAAAAACAAATATTGTGTTAATGAGTCTAAATTCTGTACTGGCACCAGTAATAATACAGAACACTAGACTTGACCTTAACCAGTCGCAATACAAACCTTGGATTTTTATCTTGTGGTGTTTCAATTGAATTATTTTCATTCTGTTCAGGTAATGATGCCACCACTTTGTCTCTATATTCGGATTCTGTTTTCTGAGCACGACCTATTGTTGAACCATCAAACGGACAGCTTCCAGCAGATGTATCAACATTACAATGTGGCCAACTATCTAATTCTAATTGTATAGGACGGTAATGTAAGTTTATAGCTTCATATTTTATCAATGGTGCTCTAAGCTTCTTAACTGAAAATGAAAAGGCATGTAAAGTTCATCAAATTACTAATGTTTATGAAGAAACATATCATTAATGAGGAATTTGAAGACAATACATATCTTGTATCATAAATCAAACCTGTGAGTTTGTAGTTTTTAGATATCACTTACCTTTGAACTGCGTTTTCTTCTTTATAACCTGAATAATAGAAAAAATAAGCAAGCAATGTTAGACTGACATTACTGACATGAGATCTAAGGTTTTTTTTTTTTTTGCATCAGAGATTCAGGACTATAATTTTGTGAATGACTTTAGATTTAGGTTCTAGAGTACTGAAATCAATTCATATCAGCTAATAAGGGAAATATTTAAATTTCATTTGTAAAGATAGCTTGCCAGGCAAGATAACTGGTAGCTGTCAGAAATGATTATACAGTCTAAGAAGCTAAAATACGAATTTTCTCATTTTAAAGATCTTCATACTGCTTGAATTTATTGATATTATTAGGGCTGGGCAATATACCAGTATGACGATAAATACCAGTATGGGAATTCATACCGTTAGTAATACTTTCTGATGATTAAAATGTCGAAATAAAGTTAACAATAGCAGATTCACTGCAAACATTGTTTTGTCATAAAAATTAACACAGCATCCCAGAAACGAAGTGGCAGAATTGTATGTTTCTGTTGTTAATAAAAATAGACCGCCGCCATGCATTTCACTTTCACTTTTTTAATAGATTTCTTCTAGCCTACTATGTGTTATTTATAATGCGACTTCGTAACACTTGGTCCATTTGTATAAAAGGTTAGACCTAGTCGATACGCCAGGCCTAGATCTAATTACCAATATAGTATGATATTGATAGTATGGTTACGACAATTTGGGTTAGTCGATCTACTTTCGATAATATTATCCTGTGACCATATGACCGTGATAGCACCGAATCAGCAAGTCCTATGGCCTCTATTGAAAAAAAAAAAAAAAATTGTGCTGTTCTAAAACAAAACTAATTCCTGTTCGGAGGATATTTAAAAGAAATCGAATTATTCGGTAACAATGAAAGAACTAGAGTCATAAGCGCAACTGCACTCAAACATTGCGTTCATGGAATTTATGGTTATGCTGCATAATTTACCGTACGAAAATTTTTTTCAAAAGTACATTTTTAGAATTGATTTTTTTGTGTGTGGATTGGATCAGTCTCTTCCGTATTTATAATTTTTGAAATATAGGAATCCATGTTCCAAACAATTAATAATATTCCTGGCACTTGGCTTGAGTTATTGTTTTATTCCCAATATTTAAATGGCTATTAAAACGGATGTAAACATCGTACAACAAAACCAAAGGCACCATGTGATAGATGTCGTCAAGGGCTATGACTTTTGTTCAGACGACATAGTCACCACAGGTCAAGGTCACTAGATATGAGCCTTAAAAGTTTTGAAAATTGCTGTTTTTGGAAGCCTATAAAACCAGAAAGAGGTGTCGGACATCATAGATCAAAACATGAATTGACATTATAGATCAATGACTTTTAACCTTGAAAAGGTCAAGGTCATCAAAGATGAAGGTCAAAAATGAAAATTTAGTCAATTGTAAGACCTATTCCTTTTTTAAAAGTAAAAAAACCCAAACAGATTGATCTTCCTACGATATTGGCCAAACTAGTGACCTATTTTCCTGCAAAATATTATCGGTGAAAAATGTATACTTTGCAAGTTATGATAAATTACAAATATATAATATATATCCTGGAAGTGCCACGCCCACCCCCAAAATTTTGCTATGTCTGCTATGGGTACAATGTTAAATGATGTTCAAAATTCCAAGCATCTACACAATTAGATCATAAGATATTCGTTGTTATACGTTAAAGGTTTGAGTTTACATGGCAAAAACCAAATTACGCACAGTTACTACAGACGTCATTGTAAATTTTAAAATTTTAAAAAGCGCAATATTGATCAATATATCAAGTGTGATATATCTTCAGAAAGAAAAAAATCGCACACGTTAAGGAAATGAATAAATTTTGTCGTATGATAATAAGGTCACGTGACAGAGCTTTTTAAAGATAAAAATTGCGATTTTCAAATGGCTTTAGAACCTTTGTCGCTTGACAAAGGCAAATATATTTTTAGATAGATCTCGTTAGGGGCCATAACATTTGTGCAGGTCACCAAAGGTCAAGGTAACTAGATATATGCCATAACAGTTACTGAAAAAATAAAACCGGAAATTAAAAAAAAAGTAAAGCCAAAATTCAAAAATCGGATTCCCGTGTTTTCTTAGCAATCGAATGCAGATTCTATTGACACTAAAATCACACACATCAGCGTTACCCCTAAGGCGCCATTTTGAGTTTTATGAAAATTAGGCGTATCAAGATGGCGTCTGACCCTATACTTCCGGGTCAAATTTATCCATCTTTATGGAGAGTACTCTAACTAATTGCAAAAAGAATTTTTCAAATATCTGCAAAATTCCGGAAGTTGAAATTTCAACTTTACGAGCGAATAACGTCAAAACCGGAAGTGATATCGAAACTTTGAAAATTGATTTTAGATCGCAATCAAAATGTCTATCTGTAAGCTTTCATATCGATCGAAATAAAATTGTAGAAGTGAAAAAACTCAAAAATTAAAGCTAAACAAGTCAGCGACAAAATTCAAAATATAAGAAATTTTTAATTGCTATCTTTTAGCCGTTTGCGTGAACTTATTAACAAAAAAGATCGATCAAAATTGGAGCCGTAAATTAGCGAAAATGTAAAATGGATTTTATCCTACGTCATTTCCGGTTGGAAAAAAATGCATGAAAATACATTCATCAGATTTAGTCTCGCGACATTAACGGGAGAAATGTTAACAGTATTTATGTGACATGTATAGTTTTGGCTGGGCGCTCTGACCAGAATTCGAAAAAAAAACAACACAAAAACAAAACAATGCAGAGCGTTTGAAGAACGCACTGCAAATATACCTGACCAGCATATTTGTGGACGAAAATGAAAATTGATAAGATTTAGTTCTATCGAAAAACAAATCAATTAGTTATTTTCACACCTTGTTACTAGGGTAAAAGGAAAAACATGGCGTTGGTAGAAAATCTCAATGTAGGAGCGTTGGTGCCAAAAAAAAAACAGCATTAGTGATACATGGAACTATTTTTGCTATAAAGAAGATGACATGGCCCAAGAGACAATCTTTTGCAGTAAAATGCAGATCTGGTGGCAGAATGATCAATATCTCAGGAAATCAAAATATTGCCATATATACCCATATTATCAATATATCAATATCGTGATATTATCAGCTCTAATATCGCGGTATTGCTTTTGACCAATATCGTCCAGCCGAAACAGACTTAAACAAATGCAACTATCATCACCACAATACATTAATAATTTCATTTAAATCGGATGAAAACTGTAGTCTCTATTGTGTTCACAAACAAATTTTGTCGCGTTTTGACTAGGTAAAGGGCAATAACTCAAAATCCGTTCAATGAAAAATCTTCCACTTTGAATGAATTTGTTCAAGACCACATCAAAATAAATCACAGCAAGTTTCATTTAAATCAGTTAAGATAGCTTGCCAGGCAAGGTAACACACGCCCACTGGCAGCTGTCAGAAATGATAATACAGTCTTTAGTGACTAAAATATAAATTTTCTCACATTAAAGAAATTTTAACAGTTTGAATTCAATGATATATTTACTGCCAGTTATTTATGCTGAGAAATTCCACCAAATTTTTAAAATCAATATCAATAACCCAAATACATCAATATACATGATCACACCATGTTACATTAAAATCAATTGAAAACTGTAGTCTCTAATGTGTTCACAAACAAATTTTTCCTAAGTCAAGGGTAATACCGGTAACTCAAAGATTGTTCATCGAAATATCATAAAATTCAAACTTGTCCAAGATCTCATCAATGCAAATGATCACACCAAATTTCATTAAGATAGCTTGCCAGGCAAGGTAATATACGCCCACTGGCAGCTTTGATTTTGAACATAAATATTTAGCATTACAGTAACAATCACCAGTCATACACTTCTTTTAAACTCTTTAGGGAGATACTGAATAATATTGAGTATGAGTTATTGCCCTAGTTCTTGAAAACGTGTTCAATCTTTAGCTCATGAAAACTCTAGAAGACAAATATTCAATCTTCAGCGCGGTAATGAATAATAAAACCAAGTTTTGTCAAAATTCGGCAAGAATCATTCCTTCTAGAGTTTTAATGAGCTACAGATTGAAGGAGTTTTCAAGATCAAGGGCAATAACTCATACTTAATATTTTTTTGATTTTTCTGATTTTCAATAGGCTTTATCCTTGGGTGATAACAAAATCTCAAGCCAAATTTCGTTAAACTCCATCAAGAATTTTGCCTTCTAGAGTGTTTACAAGATAAAAATTGAACGCGTTTTAAAGAATAAGGGCTATAACTCATACTCAATATTTCTAGATTCTTCTGATTTTCAATAGAGTTCATCCTTGGGTGATAACCAACACTCAAGCCAAATTTCATTAAAATCCGTCAGGTTTTCTGATTTTCGATAGGGTTTATCTTTGTGCGATTATGAACACTCATACCAAGTTTCATCAAAATCAGTCATGAATTGCACCTTCTAGAGTGTTTACGAGCGTTTCAAGAACAAGGGCAATAACTCATAGTAAATATTTTTGGATTCGTCTGATTTTCAATAGGGTTCATCCTTGGGTGATTACAACCATACCAAGTTTCGTTGAAATCAGTCAAGAATTGTGCCTTGTAGAGTGTTTACGACCAATTGTGGATGGATGGACGGGCAGACCGACGGAAAGAGGTGACGGCAATATACGCCCCCCATTTCATGTGGGCGTATAAAAACTGTAGTCTCTATTGTGTTCACAAGAAATGTTGACAGACGGACTGATGGAAAGGGGTGACAGCAATATGCTCCCATATTTCCATGTGAGAGTATAAAAATAGACAAAATAGAGTTATTTCATACCTGAGGTTTGAAAGCTGTACTAGTTGTTTGTAACTTGCTGAATTCTTTTTCTACCCATTTCAATGCAGCTGAAATAGATAATATAGTTCATTCTATAAGTAACTCCTAACAGAAGGTAGCTCAGTCTCAAATACTTCTCAAATATTATGCACTGTGACAGGTTAGCAGCTAATCAATTCTGTACATGCTTATATGGTTAGTGTATGCAATGACAGGAAGAAGTCTTGGGGTCTTTCTCTCCAGAAAAGATATACAGTAAAACCTGCATTGGGACCACTTAAGGGATGAATCTAAAGCGGTCTATTAATGAAGGTGGTCTCTTAGGAGAGAAAGTCATTAATTTGCTAGTTCAATTATTTTATTTCATTAGAACTGTTCTAATAACAGTACTGATGCAGGGCGGATTACGACATTCAGGTACATACGAAGATGGTCTATTGCAATTACATTGATGTAAATACTTTTCTGCATCTCTAAATGCAAATATCCAAAATGCCTGGAGTTTAAAGTATATTTACTAGGAATAAAAGAATATTTGTCGATTATACACATACATACCAAGTTTGATGAAACCCGGATAAGAAATAATAAATTTGGTAATGCGCATACGCACAACAAAAATTCAATATTTCCATCAAATTTAGAATTGGATTATACACATATATACCAAGTTTGGTGAAATTCGGATAAGAAATAAGCAGGTTGGTAATGTGCATGCGCACAACAAAAATTCTATATTTTCATCAAATTTAGACTTCGATTATACACATGCATACCAAGTTTGGTGAAATTCGGATAAGAAGTAAGAAAGTTAGTAATGCGCAAGCAAATTCGATATATCCATCAAATTTAGAATTGGATTATACACATACATACCAAGTTCGGTGAAAATCGGGTAAGAAATAAGAAAGTTGGAAAATTAAGTGGGGGAATACGTTTAATGTGCTTCCATAAGCTCAACTTACAGTATAACATGGTTCAATCCATCCTAGAGCTTATTTATATACCTTTACTGGACACAAAACATTTTAAAGAAATATAGAAGGGAGGGTGTCTTTAAAACTACTTAAACTTTGATTTCTATTGGGGTTGACAGCCAGGTTAATCTAATTAGTCGATTTATCTAATAATAGTCCCATATTAAGTGAATGGGGTTTTGAATTTGCACATAAGGCATGCATGTCTTATATCACTGGAAAGCTCAGAATCTCTACATTACAAAATCGAAAGAATTATCGCCATATCTCTATTGTTAATTTCAGTTGGGGGAAACATTGCTTTCAAAATTGTCCATAATTTCTGCTTTGTGTTTTAATATTCCCTGAATTTGCGTCTCTCCAACACCAAATTCATCGGCAATTTGTCGACCGCTTTTCCCAGCTTTCGATAAATTGATGACCTTTACCCTCTCATCTTATGTTAAAACTCTGCTTATAGCCTTCAACATTTTGGAAATGAAGAAATATAAAGAAATATATTTTTTACTGCCATTTATATCTTTAAACTGATATAATTAATTAACAAGCCAGCGTGACATTGAATTAATCAATTGATGATTAGCAAATTGCTGATGAACTATAATCTCGATTAATCTCACCGACGTGACAAATCATGTGATGTTTATACAGGGGAGATAATGATAATTTGGTGATTTTGAGTGTAAATACATGGTCACTGGTCATGTAATGAAGGTGGTCGCTTATCAGTCGTTTTTATTGCGTTAAAAAGTCGTGGGTGACTTTATTGTTTAATAAAGGTGGGCGCATGAGCAGAGTATATGTACACTTTATCCTTACCTTCCAATGGTACAACTTTAATTCCAAATTTTTCAGCATTTTGCAGTACTGGTGTTATCTGTAACAATAAAATAATCCATACAGTAAAATCTAAAACAAGCAAACAAAGAATATAGACAAGATGACAATCCATTCAGTAGATAAAGTACCACAGAAATGCTAAAGTGTAAAACATAGTATTAAATACCTGAACCTGTGACTGAGCAAGTTTAACCATAGCTTGAGCTCGTGTTTGCTAGAAAAAAATATAGAAGTTTTATTATATTTCATTTTTGGTATTACCAACTTATTATTCTATTTGCAGTCAGTGATTAAAGTATGTGTAAATATTTTCAGAAATAGTATCAGTAAAAGTATATGGTCTGAAACATAGTTATTTTGAAAGTTTATTCACCTAATTGTGTTTGGAACAACTTATTTAGCGAAGTAAAAAAAATATATTCAACCTAAAAAAGTCTTGGATAATTCATAACATTTAATTGCTTCTGTCTTCAAACAAATACTCCTGAATCTTTACTATGTGAACTTACAGTTTTTTGTTTATAATTTTCGGTAGGAGAACCACCTTGACCACTGTTAAAGGGACTAGGTGTAGACACAAAAGAAGGGCTGTCAGGTCTATCTTTATTTCCATCATTAGTTTTATTGGGAAGGGTAGTATTTGTGTTACTTGATATCACATAGTTAATCTCTTTACTTAAAAACTTCTCCACTTCCTGAAAATAACAAAGATAGCTTGCCAGGCAAGGTAATTTACGCCCACTGGTAGCTTCGATTTTGAGTAAAAAAATTCAGCAATACAGTAATAATCACCAGTGTGAAATATTCAACCTTCAGTCATACACTTCTTTTGAACTCTTTAGGGCGATACTGAATAATATTATTTATAGAGTTATTGCCCTTGTTCTTAAAAAAATGGGTGATAATAAACATTTTCACCAAGTTTCAGCAAAATCTGTCAAGAATTGAGCCTTCTATAGTGTTTACAAGCTAAAAATTGAACACGTTCTCAAAAACTGATGCTTAATATTTTTCTGATTTTCAATAGGGTTCATCCTTGGGTGATTACGCAACACTCGAACACCAAGTTTCATCAAATCGGTCAAGAATTGTTTCTTTTAGAGTGTTTACGAGCTAAAAATTGAACGTGTTTTCAAGAACAAGGGAATTAACTCATACTAAATATTTTTCGGAATCTATTGATTTTCCATAGGGTTTAACCTTTGGTGATTACGAACACTCACACCAAGTTTCATCCAAATCCAGCAAGAATTGTGCCTTCTTGAGTGTTAACAAGCTAAAAATTCCAAATGAAATGAATGGAGTTTTACATCCTACTTTTCTGTGTGCGCTAATGAAGACGGGCAACGCCATGCAGGGTGCCATGAGAGAAATTAGCATTAGCCTGCTCTTTTTCGATTTCCAACTGTCGAGGAATCTTTAACGTACACAGCCTGTAGCACACAGGGCTTCGGTTTATTGTCCCATCCGAACGACTAGGTCACTAGAAGCTTTTTCCATGTCAGCCCCTCTTACCTGCATCACTGACAGGGGGAAACCGGGTTGAAAAATCAGAAGATATTATCTCGACCTATGCCGGGATTGAACCATGGACCTTCAGGTTAGCGAGTAAGCATCTAACTCACTGAGTCACTGCGGCTCCCTGAACGCGTTTTCAAGAACAAGGGCAACAACTCATACTTAATATTTTTCAATTCTTCTGATTTTCTGATTACGAACATTCATACCAAGTTTCGTCAAAATCCATTAAGAATTGTCCTTTCTAGAGTGTTGACGAGCTAAAAATTTTCAAGTACAAGGGAAATAACTCATACTTAATATATTTTGATTCTTCTGATTTTCAATAGGGTTCATCCTTGATTGAGTACGAAAACAATCATACCAAGTTTCATCAAAATCCGTCAAGAATTGTGACTTGTAGTGTGTTTACCAGCAAATGTGGACAGACATGGGTGACAGCAATCTCCTCCCCCCCATTTCATGTTGGCGTATAAAAATTAGTCGTTCAAAATATTTGGGTTAGCTTACAGTGAGTGTTGATTTTTTTTCTCTTTATGTAAGTGGTGTAGTAAAGATTTTAGGTCAGAATTAAAACATAGTTTCAACAACTTAAATTCCACCTCAATAAAATTCTAACTTTAACAATAGAAAACTGAAAATATCCATCCATACATATTGATATCGTGCTAATCATCGTCACAAAAAGTAACAGAGAGATTTATCTTAATTATTGGGCATAGGGTAAGTAAGAGTATCTTACCTACCCCTGCCGTCAAAAAATAAACTCAATAATAACTAAAATAATACGTACTGCCCCTAATGATTTTAAAGAATCATCTAATTTCTTCCGATGCCTAACATCTTTTACATCTAGATAAATAGTTTTCCCTGACAATGGTAACTTCTGTTTAAACTCCAACTTCTTTTTGGCACCCTTGGGTGCACTCTTTTCTGAAATAAGAATGTTTTTAATGCTGAAAGTGAAACATGTTGAAACTTATTCTTCTCTGTCGCAATTCCTTGCAATATGCAGATTGGACAAAAATTGATGCAATAGGTACCAGACTAATTTGGCAAGATGTTAAATGAAGACATTTCAATTTCATCAATCCAGTTTTCCATTCCACCAATATCAACATACTTAATGAAATGAAACTTTTAAGATTTATTCAACTTACTTCCAGAAAACTGTTTAATATCTCCATAGTCTTTCTTCATTCCTGCGCTTAGAAATAGAACATATGATTTTTGAGGTATTGTGTTAGTTTACAAAAAGATGAGATGTTGATGAGAATGAATGGTACTGTCTCTTCTTTATTTTTAACTAAACCATTCTTGAAGACTAGTCCTAAAAATAAAAAAAATGCCATTTACTGAGCAAAATATTCTTTGCTTCAAAAATATTTATATAAACATGCAGGTTGATTTATCTATTAATATTTAGGCTTTTGATTGAGATCACAAGTTAGCGGAAAATTGGACCATCTAAGGTAAAGAATTTTGGTTGGATATTGCAGCTTTTATTTAAGTTGGGTACACATGGAATTCGGCCTTATTTGGTCATAGAATAAAATGTTGTGTTAATGTCATTGGAAAAGTCCTCTAAAGTTAGTGTTAGGAGTGAAGAAGTTCCTAAAAACTTCTATGTAAAGCACTGGCCAAGGTCACAAATAAAGAGATAAATGTTCAGTACAAGATAAGGTGAATTTAGCATAGTTAGTTAGTGACAGTGTAGGCCTACTTTCGTCACTACTGTTTTGACTTTTGTTGTGTTTTAGTTTTGGAAGTACCGTAAGTAATCATGGTAGAACGGTAGACTCTGGCTAAGTAGTGGTTCTGAATGGGTGGGGATTCTCTGTGACAAATACAGTGATACTGAGGTTCTGAAGATTGAAAAAAGATTGAACTTAAATTGAAGAAATATTTTAGGATAGGAATAAGAAAAAAGAAGAGGACCGAGCCCGAAGGGAGGGGCATGTTTAATTGTCGTTGAATTGAGAGTACAGAAAGTGGAAAAAAATCATCATTCTATGCAATTGTGCAATTGGATTATTGTCTCTTCCAATTTACTGTTACCTAATAAATTAATTGATTACCCTAAATAAAAAAATGATGTTATTTTAACTGTTAAACAGTAGTCACAGTTCGCGCTTTCAATGCCATTACTTCTGCCGCCCGATTAATTGCTACTGATTGGATGATATCTTCGTTCAGTGCGGACCTTAATATTATCTACTTCCGTAATAAACAAGATGGCAGCCTCCGTGTATAGCATGTTGGTTGGTTCTGAAACCGGGTTATTAAAGGGGATAGACGTTAATCGATCGACATGGAACAATTTGAATAGCGTCCAGTGTGCAGACAGATCTAAGGAAATATTGGCTATGTGTTGGGAGGGATCGAGTCAACAGAATCTTTACTATGGTTTAAGAAATAGGGAAATTCACACCTTCGATTTTGTAAACAATGAGGAAAAGATAGGAAGTCGCATTGAATTGTCAGGCGGAACTGGACCTTTGAAGGGCTTATCTCGGATAAATGATAACTACATCACAGCAGTAGAGTCAGGATTGGTCAAAGTTTGGAATGGAAAGTATGATGTAGAATCGTTTGAAGCAGGTGATAAACTATGTTGCATGGTTCACAATACTCACAATGAAAATTTGATCGCAGCTGGTGGAGACGAAAATGATTTAAAAATATGGGATTTGCAGAATCTACAGAAACCAATATTTATGGCTAAAAATGTTAGGAATGATTGGTTGAATCTCCGTGTTCCTGTTAAAGTTCTGGGTGCTCAATTTGTACCAAATAGTCAAGAAATTGTGACTTGTACTGGTTATCATCAAGTACGTTTGTATGATCCACGTACACCACAGCGTCGACCTGTAGTTGACATGTCATTTGACGAGTATCCATTAATGGCAATTGGAATATGCCACACACAGTCTGATCAGGTTGTGGTGGGAAACACTCAAGGTAAAACAGCCTTGCTAGATTTCAGAAAAGGTCGAGTCGTACATAAATATAAAGGATTTGCAGGTTCTGTGCGCAGTATCCAGTGTCATCCAACTATGCCTCTAGTTGTTACTTGTGGACTTGATAGATTTGTTCGAATACATCATATTGTTTCAAGGGAACTAATGCACAAATTTTATTTGAAGTCAAGACTGAATTGCTTACTTTTACATAAAAATTGGAAATGTGAAAGTTTAGATGAAGGTATTGATATGACTGAGGATGATGGGGTGAATGAGACAAAAGTCGAGAACGAGACAATGACAGCTGAAGATGATTTAGAAGAAGATATTTGGAATCAATTGGAAGTGGTGACACCGAGAGGTAATAATTACAAATCTAAAAGGAAAGATGTTAGTTCTTCCACAAGGAGTATAGATGAGAGTGAAAAGAACAGTGATAAGTTGAAAGAACCAACTTCGAGGAAAAGCAAAAGACTCTCTGTTAAAGTTACAAGCTCAGAAAAAGTGAAAAAAATGAAAAAGTGATATTATAAATAAAATATTTGAAAAATGCTGCATTTTATTTGAAGCATCATATGACTGATGTTTGTAGAGGGTACACAATTCAAATTATCCAATCAGAAGATAGATACTTGAGTAATTCATTATTGTTTGCTTATATCACAGATTAAAAACACCTTACCTTTTTAAAGGGGCATTCCGCTTTTTTTGCAAAACTGTTTCACTATCAAAAAAGGCGTAAATTATACCTGAAGAAAGTTTGCCATTTATATCTATGATCATGATGATTCACAGGCCATCCATCTTGGAATGAATGATCTTTACCTGCGAGAAGTTCCAATGAGAGGATGTTCAGGGTGCATTGGTTTATACCGTTTATAGTGCAGTCAGTGTGATGCGTTTTGTACTGCTTCAGAGTGTAGCATGACCAAATTCAATGCGTTAAAATGAAAGCGAATTCCGGCGATTGCTTTCCAGAAATCGGTTTGACATCTCTTTCAGTGTAAACTTGACTGCATAGCAAGTTTCATCAATATCAGAATGATAGCACCTATCGTGCATACAAGAAATGCGAACGGACATCACTAAAAGATAACATTAAATTATCTTGCATACAAACCAGTCATAGAAGTTTCATTTTGTAAAGGGAAGTTGATGATGAGATCTTATCAGCTCATTAAAATAACAATAAGGTCATGTTTTATAGATTTATGTTCATTATCATGAAATCATTTCATTTTTTAACATAAGACATTTTGTACATAATAATAATATAAAACAATGATAACTATACCTACATCATTTCTTACTTACAGTAACATATTACAAACAGACTATACATTATGGGAAGGAAACCTTTAAGAAAAAGACTACATTTCACAACAGATCAAAAGGCATAATATACTGTATATACAAAAGTTATACTTTTGAAATAAAAATCTAAATTATCATGAAAACAATGCACAATATCGATATAAATATGACTATAATATAAATTAAGAATTAAAAAGGCCTCTCCTTGCAGAAATTATCTAAAGTAACCAATGAAAATCTTGGATTAAGAAAACAGAAGTAGCCAGCACTAGAAGAGTTAAAGAATAATTTGATTCACAGTTAAAAAAAACAAACTTTCTCAATATTCCAGATTATCTGCTCAGCAGAATCAATGTAACCAATAAGGACAAACCGTAGCGTAAAATATGTGTCATTGACTAATTAATGTTATTAACCCAGCCTAATAGTTAAGAAAATATTGTCACTGAGCAAGGTTGATATTCAACGCCAACGAGCGCTGCTTTATCCATAAATATGTTAGATCAAAAATTGAAACAGCTCCTAAGTTATATGTCATAAAATTTCTCTTGATTTCTGAACAAGAATTAATTCAATAATTCATTTGACACTTTTTTCATTCAAATTTATCTAGGCATAGTATAAGGACAAAATTAAGAATTTTATGATGAGAAATAAACAATGGTAATTCTTCAGTACACAGGAAAGCAAAATGGTCTCTTAATGATCTATATATTTCTAGATAGTACCTGTATAAAAAGCTTTTTTGAGCAGCATTTAGTAATTGGGCACTACATATCTGGACACAAATATATGGATAACAATTACGTTAACAAATATATTTTGACGTTTCAACCATGTTGGCAATTTATTCAAATGTTAATCATATCAAATTGTTTCCAGTTACAGTATAAAAATCATCATTTTAACATATTTCACAAAAACTGAATATTTTTCTAAAAATATTCAAGCCTAGAGTATCCAGATTAAATTCAACTGACCTCGCAACAATATTCTATATCATATCTCTCTAATTCAAGTGATACTTTCTATTTTAAATGTATTACTGGAAGCCGAGCATGAATTTTATCAACTGCAAATTGAGTATTCAGAACTAGATAACAGTCCAAAAAACTTTTTAGCTGTACAGAGGTTATTTGCATAAAAAAACTTGACTTCAGTAATAGTAGATAAAACTGAATATTTCACTTCTGAATTATTCATATATTTCAATATTAAAAATATGTTGTGGTATTGTTATATATGGCTTACTATTCACCTAGACCCAGCAAGGCTTGATCCATCAAATCATCATCTATTTCACAAGGGGAATTTGAGATGGGACTAGCTGTTAAAACAGGTGGGGTGGGATCTTTTGAAGGGGTAGTTTTTAAAAGAGTCTTTACTGAAGGGGGAGTTTGCACAGTTCTCATACTGTCTGATTTCACCCAATTTTCTCCCTTTGGTCCTGTATCTATTGCTGTCAAATCTTCATCTGGTGATGCTGGACAGTCAATGATTAAACCAATTTCAGGACTGCTTGCATCACTTCGTGGACTAAAACTACCTTTACTTGGAGTTGGCGCTTTGTTTTTAGGGATCTCTGATATTATATTATTATCTCTCACTTGTGGAATTTGAGATTTTAGCGTAGGTGGTTTCGGTGATGCCTTTTCAACTTTAGTCACTTCTCCATTAAATTTAGTAGTTTCTGAAACAAATGCTAGCCCCTGATTGGGTGCAACATTTGAAGTCGGAATGATTTTATCAGATAAAGAGAGATCAAGGGCTCCCTCTGAGGGACTTGCTATATTGGATGGCACAGACACTTTTTGTTTTTCCGTCTCAGTTTTAGAATTGTCAGCACTGGAATTTAAATTTGTACTAGAGTTATTGCGTATTAAACGAGGGTCCTCACGCTGGGAAAGTATTGTTGGTGTATGAGATCTTTCACGTTTAAAATTCCCAGAATCAGAAATCTTTACATTTCGATTCTCTTCACTATTATAATTTGTTTGAGAGTTTTTCAGGATTCCAACAGGACTAGATTTTGTAGTTGGAGATTTTGAGGAAGTTAATATGCTGTTAAGACGTGGGGATGATGACACTGTGTCAGATACAGATCGAGGTTTATTGTGAGTGGAGTAATCCGAGTTCATAAGTGCTCTTTTATTGTAATCACTTTTGTTCATTTTATTGGTCGTTGGTGATTTCTGAACAGGCTTAGAGACATAATTTTCTTGTGATCTTTGTTTGTTTCCAAATTTATCAATATTTATGGAATCAGGTCTTGGCACTTTTTTATCACTAAAATTCGATTTTTCATTTTGAACACTTCTATCTAAGATTTTGTCAGATTTGGAATTGTTAATCCTTGGATCGCGACTCACTGGAGCATCACTTTGACCAGAACCGTCACTCACAGAATTGGTAGTACCAGTAGCTTTAGTAAGTTTGTCAATAACAGCTGACAGAGATCCTTTACGAGCTCTAGCCATAGGTTGCATATTGGATTTATTTTTATGAGAGGAATTGGAGCTGGAGTCAGTGGTGGAATTAGAAGATTGAGATGAAGAATGAGAGGTGGAGGTGTAAGCCGAGGTTTGAGGAGGTGGTGAGTGAAGAGCAGAAGAATGAGAGATGGAAGAAGCTTGAGAAGCAGATTTAGATGAAGAAGATAGTTTAGGTATAGGGGGAAGACGGGCAACCTTACTAGCAGATGGAGCATTAGGAAGGTAAGCTGACATTGACATACTGGTACTTCCACTACCTAAACTTGAGGTAGATGAGGACTTCGAAAGAGCAGAACTTTTACTAGATGAGCTTGAATTTAAGCGTGAAGAGTTCAAATTACTTCCTGATTTAGAACTAGACAAAGTTTTATTGGATGAGCTTGATCCAGATTTTGACAAACTGGATGATGTTGATTTATTTGCTGAATTGTAAGTTTTATTCACAGAAGAGGATTTTGCAAGTCCACTAATACTTGGAGAAGATGACTTACTCGAAGCACTTAAAATTGGAGAGGATGTTTTCCCCGAAGCACTTAAACTAGGTGAGTTAATTTTCCCTGATCCACTGAGATTGGGAGAAGAAATTTTACTAGTAGCACTCAGATTAGGAGATATCACACTTTTTGAGATACTAGGTGAAGCATTCTTCCCACTTCCAATAAGAATGGGTGATGATGCTGTTTGTCCTGTGTTTCCAACGCTAGGTGAAGTGTTTTTCCCAAAATTGGAGTTTGGGCTTTTGTAAGAAGCACTAGTAATACTTGGAGATGCTGTTCGATTTCCTGAATTAGCTGTCTTATTAGAACTACTAGATTTCACAGATTTGATTTCACTGAAGGATTTTCCTGAAGCACTACCTGATTTTTGTCCTGCGTTAACTGTCACTGATGAACCTGGGTTTGGAATTTGAAGTGGTTTTAAACGGATTGTTGCTTTAGCTAATTTAGGGTCAGCTTTACCACTTTCTGAACTACCCTGAGAGTTCAATGAAGATTTTGAACGATGGAGAGATTTCTGACTTTTCGATGATTCTTTAGAATCTTGACGAGAAACAACATATTTTTCCACAGTTTGTTTCTTCACACTATCTCCGAATTTATCCTTATCAGGAGAATCTGGCAAAACCACTGTTGGTTCTTTAGCCACACGGATTTTCAATTTTGTAACCGTTCTTTGATCACTTTCCACAGAATGATAAACAGCCTGACCTTCAGTCATTTTTCGCTTTTTTCTCTCCTTTTTAGATTCATCTTTTAACTTTTTACGCTTCACAGAATCACCTTTTAAATTGTATTTGGCTTCTTTTCGTTTATATTTTTCAGTTTTCTTGAGCAGGGAATCAGAGTTTTTTGCTTTATTTGAAATTGAGAGTCTTGTTGGTGATTGAGAATAAACAGTCATAGACAAACGGTCTGAACTAGAATAACCTAAAGAAGGTGGCTCTTCATCTGATTCATCACTAGTAAAATCAAATGTACAAGATCCTGACTTTTTGGTCACTACCGGTTCACTAGAGTAAGCAGGCGAAGATATCAAACGACCTTCTCCACCACGAAAACCTGAGGTAGAGAGTTTTAACTTCATACTACCTCCAGACTCGGCTCTATCCACTGACTCAGTTTTTTCTTTTTTCAACTGTTCACCCTTAAGATTTTCCAACTTTTCAAAAATACCAGTGATTTCTTTCTTATCAGTTGAGAGATCAGAGTTCACTTTTGCACTACTTTTGCCATATATGGCATTATACTTAGAATCCAACAAATCATGGGACTGAGGAACGCGGTGTGTCATAAGTTGCTGGACACTTTTAGACGTTTCCAAATCAGTTCCAAAGAGTTCGTTGCGTAAGTTGACATCAAGCGTTGAGTTGTACGTATCTGCTTGAATTTGATTGTCCGACCTAGGCCCTGGGGCTGGAACCAAATGTCGGCTGGCAAGAATAGGGTCATCCGCCTCGTCGTTATCTCCCACCTCACTGAGGAGACCCTCAAGAGAGATAGAGGCCTTCTCGTTTTTTGAATTCTGTGGTGAACTTCTAGAAATCAAAGGTCTACCACCAACTTCACCTTCAGCAAGTAAAGCTGACAGCTCTGAATCTGGTATACTGGCTTGTCGACTCATTTCACGAGGAATATTATCAACACTATCAGCAAGTTTCTTTAAACTCGACTCCCCGCTAAATGCATCTTCAGTCAAATCAATGACACTGCCTAAAGATCCAGAGGCTTGAAAATTTCCTCCAAGGCCTGCACTCCCTCCGATGCTCCCACCACCACCCGCATCAAAAGGGCTACTTGAATTGTCCATATCAAAAGTATCAAGTCTATCAAAACCACCACTACTATCACTTATTCTGTGCTTTGGACTGCGTCCTGTAAATACATCAGTAGCTGAACGTCTTTTCCGCATTCTTTTCTGTTGCTGTAGACTTGGAGAATGGGATGAAATTTGATGCTGTTGAGATGCCATTTGGTGTTGTTGGGATGCCATTTGATGTTGCTGGGAAGCCATTTGTTGTTGGGATGCCATTTGATGTTGCTGGGAAGCCATTTGTTGTTGCTGGGATGACAACTGATGCTGCTGCACCATCATATGCTGTTGTGCAACCGACATTTGTGGCTGTGATGGCATTTGTTGATGATGCTGTTGTTGATGGTGCTGTTGCTGCTGATGTGGTTGAGGAATTGGTCCTGGAGGAAGTGTTATCACTGAACCAGTTGGCTGCTCCTCCAGGAGTCTGGATAGCATTGGGCTATCGGTGGAATCAGTTGGCGTATCACCATCATGATCTAACAAATTAGCTAAAAGAGGAGTGGTTTTCTCCACTGAGTTTGGTGGAGACACCATTTCATGACTCATTGAACGAATGTTGGAGTATGGTGGTGGTGCTGGATACATGTCCATCTGCTGTTGATTTGTAGGAAGCATCGTTGGAGTCAATTGTTGAGGAGGTGGTAGATATGGTGGTGGTGGTCGTGGCTTGATGACTAGTGGAGGAATTGCTGGTGGTCTCATAGCTGCTTTAGCTTCATCAGTAGCTTTCTGAAGGAGATCTTTTCCTTTCTTAAAGATAGTCCGAACTGTTATTGGTACTGACATGCACCTAAAAAGATAAAAAAAAAGATATATAGGTTAAATTGAATAGAAGTCTGTTTAAAACTACAAATGAGCACTTCATTATGCAGCATGTGTTCACAAACCAATTTTTACACGTATTTCATAAGTCAAGGGCAATAACTCAAAAACCGTTCATCGAAAGATAGCCTAATTCGAACTTGTCCAAGATCATTATAAATACTCACACCAAATTTCATTGAAATTGGATGAAAACTGTAGTCCCTATTGTGCTCACAACCAAATTTTGACAGGTCAAAGGGCAATAACTCAAAAACCGTTCATCGAAAGATAGCCAAGTTTGAACTTGTCAAAGGTCTCATCATTATAAATATTCACACCAAATTTTATTGAAAATGGATGAAAACTGTAGTCATTATTGTGTTCACAACCAAGGGAAATAACTCAAAAACCGTTCATCAAAAGTTAGTCAACTTCGAACTTGTCCAAGATCTCATGAATATGAATGATCACACCAAATTTCATTCAAATCAGATAAAAACTGTTGTCTCTATTGCGTTCACAAGCTAATTGTGGATGGACGGACAGGTGCGAAGACAATATTATAATGTGGGTTTATAAAAAAAAGAGTAAAGTTGGATCCATCACAGTTATAAGCTAACATTCTTTAGATCAAGGTAGGGAGAGCTCACAGCTTTTTTGTTTTTATTGAGCGAATACCAAAACTGACAAAAGTTTACATAAGATTGTTTCATTTGATTTTCTTACCTAGTAAATATTCTTGAGGCAAGATCATCAGAACACAGAGACTCTTCCGAAGTTGACACAACTTTGCATTTTAAATTAGTTATATCTCCTAGATCGATTTCAACTGAAAATAAATAACGAAAAACTATAGGTATGTTTAAAAGAAAATGAGACCAGTTAAACTTTCTTGCATTCAATAATTGGTCAGGATAATGGACTATTGTTATATCTTTATACATATACCTATCTATTTAATGCTTATGTACAAATGTACAAAAGTTGAATTTGTGAGGTAGTCATATGAGAATTCTTATTGTATCTTTCAATAATCTCGAAGGGTAATTCGTGAGGTCAACAAACCCTAAATAATACCACACATTAAACAAAATACAATGTGTAAAATCTGAAATCTGGGACTCTTGCCAGAATTGAACTTTGAACTTCCAAAATATCAAGGGTCCAACATGTTCATCAACTGTTTCTCAAAGAAGAAAATTTTCTTACTTGATATTATGTCATCATGAGCAGGATGTTCAAATGTTACAGTTAATTGTTGCATTGAAATCGTTGTTAATTCACAAACTACAGAACTTTTAGCATCTACAAATACAAATTATCACAATCAAAAAACAACCTGAATTGGAATTTAGGACCTCTCTTGGGATTTTAAAGACATCTAGCTGCCCTTGTTTTTGTTTTTATCTTAGTAATGCATGAAGCAAGGTAAAGATAAATACAGTGTTTCTTGACAGTATGGTAAGTCTTACCATCTTGTACAAATTTGTTTTGGTATTGATAATGGTCATGGAAAAAAATGGGCATCATGTCCACATAAATTAGAATGAATTAAATTAAGCTTTGAAAGTTCTGAGCATATGCAAATCTTGTCAATGGGAAAAATGATATAATACATTAAGAAAAACTTTACCTTTAACAGAATTGGGTCTAATAACTGAACTAACTACAGTATTAAAAAGTAACTGCTGTCGTAAACAGTTCAATATTCTCGGTACACTAGTAGGATGTACAAAAGGAACAGAAGATACCATTAATCCTGGCTGATCTAAAGATCCACCATTTACACCATTTATAAAATATGTATGGTGCTGATCTGGCAAGTTCTGAAAAAAAAATAACAAGTGTTCGAATTTTCTGCCTTAAGAAATTCCTGACCATCAACACAGTGAGGAGTGATATATTACTATCTAGAAACAAGAAACAAGAATAAAGCCAGACTTAAACTTTCTGATGCTTATTTAACCAGCTATGCCAAACAAAATATAATATAATAAACTTTTTCTATTGTGGGCCGAGTGCTATGTCACAACAGAACATATTGACTTCAATAATAACTATACAATTTACAGATTTCAAAATACAAATTTTTCAATGAGTAGGGTTAACAAGCTTTGACAGAAAATACCTACCACATATAGCTGTCTAATTTGATCTGGTTGTATTTTACCCTGAGAATATTTCTCTATTAATAGATTTAATAATGGCTTCACATCGCCAACTTCACCAATTTCTATATCTATACAAAAAGCAATATAACATTAGTTAAGTTCTTCCTTACTCTACATATATATTCAACTCTACAACCAATGCACTGCATATGAACAAGTTCATGAAAAGTAGATAGAAAAATCTTTTTGCTAGTTTGCATTTTTTTTAATAACAATAACCCGCTGTAATCAACTTACTAGTTATGGACTGGATCTTCTGGACAACAGATAAAGATACTGGAATAGGTTGTTTTAATACTAGAGTAAAACAGGCTGGTAGTAAGTGACTATTGATGTTACTAATATTAGTATAAGATGGTAGACTCTTGCCATCTGTTGTTTTATTAATAGTCATTAAAGGCATAGTTTGTAGTTTCTTAGGGGGTCCTGGTTCCATACATATTGTTACTCTTTGCCCTAAATTAAACTCTGTTATAGCTGCAAAATAAAATATTTTTGGTTCAAAAAGATTTCCACATAACCATTAGCAGTAGGAGACAACAAAATAATTGTGTGATGTCAAATTTTATCCCAATTAAAAATGTGCTTTTCTTTTCCATAAGTAACATGAAATATTTTTCGTGTTAATCGATAAATTCTTGAAAACATTTCTGTCAATCCTTGCCAAAAGGGTAAGCATATGTTTATCTGAGCATTATCAAGTGCTTAGAGACAAGGTTAACTGCAGTGCAAAGGAATTACTGAAAGAAATAAAGACCTACCTTCCAGAGTAAGCGGATGAGCAGTTTTACTTAATTTATCTAATAAATCATATGGTGAGACAAAATACATCAACTCCATTGGTAAACCTATAAAAAAAAGGCAAATACTTACATAACAAAGTCAATTCCGGTCTTCTTTACTCTTTCACAATTCTTATTGTTTAAGGATCATTTTTAAAATGTTTTAATGAGGTCTTTTAACCTTTGTGCTTCTTAAAGGATTCTATTTGAACCATTATTATTTGTCTGTGACAAGAATATAACACTTCTGTTGCATGGCAGGCACAAAAGCCTTTTTGAAAATATTCTAGGCTTCAAAAAGAAAATATGAAGATATGAGGAGAGAAACTGGTTGAGCGAATTTGACTATAAAATAGTTTAAAGTTTCATACCTCCTTTCCTAGGTAGCAATATACCCAAAGGTGTTTTATGGATATATCTGGCTACTCCATTTATAGTGGAACTGAAAAAAAAATATATTTAGTTACTGATCTGAAATTCTGAAGACATTTGCTGAATACCAAGCACTATGGGTAAAAGTTATTGCATGCTCTCAAATTTCACTGATTTGAATGAAATTTCAATCATGAGTTCTCATACTTGTGAGTACATTAAATGCAATACTTGGCTAAGTGTGATATTACAGGCAAGGCGATCTTGTCTCAAAGATATTTCCCACAAAAAAATTTCAAAGTATTGTTCCCATTGCAATTTAATCCTTCTTAAATATAGCCCATATTTACCTTTGAAGCTGTGCTAAAGTGTTGAGATCTTTTTCTATGGACTGTAAAGCTAAATAACCCTTTGTTTTAATTTTTCTGTAAGTGAAAATGGTATATTTAGCACATGGAGTAATCAGTTAGAAGTTAGTCAAATGGGAGAAGGAAACAAAAGATAGTGGACCACAGCCATATACGCCCACCACGGCATGCGGATGGTAAATATTCAAGATTTTGGGGCAAGGGCAATAACTCTGCTTCTAACAGTCGAAAATAGCTCGAACTTGATCTTCGTTTTACGAATATGTATACACATACCCAATTTCATTTGATTCCATCAAAAAATCTAGTTTTTAGAGCGTTTACAAGCAAATGGACAGACGGACGGACGGATGGACCGGGGTGCCGATATCATACGTCCACATAGAGAGATGTGGGCATATAAAAATAACTGTGTCAATCAAGTTATAAATCCATTATTTTATCAATGTGTTCACAAAGACAAATGCAGTATAATTAGAATAGAAGTCAATGAGTCAGTATAATAATATGTGGGTATAAAAAGAAAACTTACTTATCACCCGTTAATTGATAAATTTTCTGTAAACCTTCAAGATGGGTTATAAATTCATCAAACTTTCCATCTCTAGAAACAAATATAAACTTTACTATCAATACAATTACATAGATAATATTTCAAACTGTCGCTTTGTTTTCAATTTGAAAAAATATGGTTAAAAGATACTCTCAACAATTCAAGTTTACCTACCAGAGAGTCAAGGCTTTATATTATGCACACAATACCACCCTCTTTGGATGATCAACTTTATTTTATCATGATTGTGTCTTTTATATCATGGTCAAAGACTTAAGTTTTTCATCTGGCATCCTATAACAAAGTGAATTGTAGTAAAAAGATAAACTTACTGCAAAATCTCTGTTAACTCAGGACAACTCTATAAATGAAATGATAAAAGATAAATGGTAAATATTGAAGCAGTATAAAACTCCTTCAGTAATCATTCTTTTCTTAACTTTCAGACTCTTAGAAATAAAAATGTGAACAAATATTATACATCCTTAGGATCATGCCACTGGACCTCTGAGATTTGCACAAAAATACTGCTGTTTCTTTACAAGGTACCGGTATAAGGAATTTAATCCGATGCCTTGACTATCAAAAAAGCAATTCTATCAGAGGCTTCAAAGAATGAAGGTGTGAAAAATGATTTGATCTGTGGTACTTATAATCTAAACCACATTTTTTCCCCTAATTATTTCAATAAAGAAAATAACTTAAATACAAACCACTGGATCTCCTTGATGAACTATTTTTACATCTTTTATAAAACCACCTTTTTCAAGTTGAATTTCAATAAAAAACATATCAGAACTAATAAAAACTTGTAAGTCATTATCAGTCCCGAATGTAAGTCCAACTTGTCTTGCTATAGATTCTAATCGTTCTAGCAGCGACTGATGATTGCACACTGAAAATTAAAAATATTCAAATAAATTATTCTATTAAACAGACTTCTTTTCATATTTCAACTATTTATCAATAATTCAAACAATTTATTGTATAAATTTATCTCACCTTTAATGGCTCTCTGTATGGAATCCAAACAATTCTGAACCAGAACTTTATCTGTAGATTCTACATGACGTTTTTCCTTTAAAAAAATATTCATGTTCAATAAGCGAAACTTTTAACTAAAGTAACCAAATGAGAAAGATATTTAATAACATGAAGGAAATGAGCGAGAAATTTTGCAAATTATTAATTTAGGAATAATTCTAGAGACGAGACTAAGCACTAGATAAAAAGAACACCAAGATTTTGGATTGAAATGAATTTTTTCAATTGTGTTCAATGATGACCAATGAGTGAGCTTGCATCATGCAACTTATATCAATCCAAGTCTTTAGTCAGAAACATTACATATACCCTGTAGAGTAATATTCAATAGTCATTTCAATCTCATGAAAATGAAAGTAATATCATATGACGATATATTTCAGTGAGAGAGAAATTCAATTAATATATCCATCTGACACCATCCCATGGGGTTTAAATGTTACTGTTGTAATAAGATAGACAGTGAAATTAAGATAAAACATTAACTCTATCATACTTACTGCCATATTAGGAGTCTTAATCAATTTACTATCAGTCCAGACCTTATGTTGTGGATTCCGAGCCCGAAGCTTGTCCATTAAGGAGGCCATTCTTTGATGCTTATCTTCATCTGAAATGTTATTAAAAAAAACAATACGATGGTAAATTCATAACTGCAACTGTCACCTTAGGTCATTTTGCAAAAGTTTTGAGTATAACTCAAAGCATAATACAACATGCTCACGGTGTCAACTATGTACTAACTACTACAACTATCAACAACTACCTAGTTTGCGATATCATGTGAAAGTTAACATGTCATCTACCTACCTACCTACCATGTCAAATTTATAATCTATGTCTACCATAAGTTTGGTTAGGTAGCAGTAACAGTTATCTACCTACAACTATCTTTTCATCAAAATAATTTCAAAATGGAAAGACTACTTTGACAATATCATATATTGAAAGAACCAGATCTAACACATCAGCATGTGGTGAGCAAATCATTTCAAGCTGTCACTGTGATCGTGTGGTGTAAAAAACTACCAAAATCCCATCTGTAATTGTTATTAGACAGGTTTTAATATATCAAAATTAATGCTGAAAAAACATAAATTCACTGTATCTAGCTTACACATCAAAGTCAAAATGAACTTATTAAGCTCTCTGATATTGAATCTTACTGAATCGATAGCAGCTTTCAATATCATTGATGTACAGTAATGAGCATAATAAATTCATAATAAATTCATGTTGCACATGTATACATGGTGCAACCATTTACAGCTGTGTTAATTTTATCAACATAAAATTATTTCAGTTCTCCTGTAAATTAATAATTTATAAGCTATAAATCAGCAAAATAAATCATTGCTGCTCTTGGAGAAAAACCTCATAACTCGTTCTTATTTGTTTTAATCTAATCTCTTCATGTTTTGAAGGAATATAGCTGAGATGAGCTGCATTAAGACTTGACTCAATAGCCAATAAAAAACCAGTATTTGAATCGTTGTTAAAAATCAAAACAATGATTGAGTGATTTTTTTGTCTTTCAAAATCTTGTAAGCCGCTTGGAATTAACATAGGTGGCAGTAGCTAAGCTTGAACAGTGAAATTGTCCTGCATTCTCCATAAAAATTTATCATTAACAGAAAGCTTTGCCTTTGACTGTAATTATACATCTTTTAAATCTTCTTAACTAATTGCATTGAGTCTACAATAGGTCTCAAAGCTGTCTAAAGCTTGTAGAATCAAAATTTTTTTTATGCAGTTTCCAGTACTGGTATTATTGGGACAGGACAGAATTTAGCTGACTTTGAAAATATTGACCATTCTTTCGGATGGGACAATAAACTGAAACTCTATGCTGTCCACATCTCTTTACAGTTTGAATTCCAGAAAAAGAAGCTTGTCTACAGAATTAGAATAAGATATTTAAATAGACCTACGGTACTGTTTCTACATCTGTTATCAAGTCTGATAAAGAAAGAATTATGAAAAAGTGATGGTCTGATTTATTTATAGAGTTCTAATTCTAAATGTCAGATTATGAAGTATTATCATTATGATAAAACTAAAAATCTAAGTCCTGTTTCTGAGTCTGATATGCACTAATATAAACTTTGTAGATCAATAATTCAAAGCAAAACTTTGAAAAAAAAAAAATAGTGAATCAAATTACCAGTGGACTGAGTATTAAATATTCTTAAAGAACATTAACTCTAAATAGATATCAGTTAAAATACATTATATCGAATTAACACAGTGACTCAACTACCACAGGGACTGGCTGAACCAAGTCCACAGGTCCCACCCTAAGTAAACTGCAGGAGAGCATATATGTTAAAAAAAATTGTAAAGGTATATGGCTGTAAATTGCTTTGAGCTTGACAGCTTGTGCTACATTTCTGCCATCTGTATCATGAATTTATATGAAGTCCGATTCCCGTACGATTCAACAAAAATTTAGTTTGAAAACTTACACTCTCCTAGATGTTGTTAACATGGATAGTAGTGGTTATTGTGACATGAACAATCATAAATGCTCTGAAGCATATCTTCCTAGTGCTAGACTGCAGTTCTCGTTTATGTTTATATGACTAGGGAAAGGGGGTGAGATTTTAATTTTAAAAAGTGATACATTACAGACAGCTGATCACTATCAGCTATTATTGCTCATATTTTAAAACCAACATGGCATGACAACATGGCATCAGCCATTGAATAGAAATTATCTAAACTAATTAAATGCTTAAGCTTATTCTAAAGAATAATCAATATTTATAATTAGTTTTATGTAATTAATTCATTCGTGTACCTGCATTATGACCCATTTCCAAGCTCATCATGGATAATAACAAGATTTATACTGAAATTTTGAGAGATACTCGAGGTAACTTAACGAAACATATTTTTGAAGTCAATAGAACCACAAAAACTTACATTTATAGATGGGCTTCCTTATTTTCTAGTGTCAAATTTAGCAAACTAATTGATTAATTGGTGTTTCTAATGAATTATCATGTATTCTTAATCATATCATTATGTACTTATTGCATATAATTAAGAGATTTAACCAATGGTAAATGTCCGTCTTTTTACAGTCTGGATAAGCAAAAAGGTTTGTTGACCTTTCTTGATCGTTCACTTATTGGAATTCTGCTAGTAATTTTCTTCTTATTTAGCTAACTGGTATTTTTCCATGTCATAAGAACATCTCTACTTTCTATTCATATAAGTATTAGTATTTTCATTTTCATAAATGAAAATAAGGGAACCCATCTTTAAGAAGTCTTCGATACATGTGTTTTTTTTGTGTATTACCCTATGAAATTGGGAATTCAAACTCAGTGCATCTTGTCTGACCTAGATAGGCTTTAATACTTCTTGAAAGCTATGCACTGATGATTTTTCTACTAAATTATATCAACTTCCTTGTTGAATATTTTCATTTACAAAATGTGTACTGGGGAGTAGACCTCTTATTGCATACAATTAAGTTATTACATAACAACTCAAAAAAAAAGTCTATGACAATTAAATTGAAATTAAGCTTATAAAAGTCTATCAAAGTCTGGTTTCTGTAATTTCAGAATATAGCTTATTCTACCGTTCTTGTCCCATGCCTTACAGAAAAGCAAGCAAACTATAAGGTATGGTGTTTTAGGGTTTTATTAATCTGAAACTAATCCACAATGCAATCTAAACATCTCATATTACAACCAGATAACTTACTTATCTTACAAAAGAACATGTCACCCCCTGCCTGGAGGCAACTTGAGTGATAGTATAGCAACTAGCCTACCATTATCATCTGTGACCTATTTAATCTCTAAATCTCTCAAATTAAGTGTGCATCTTGTAAGCTGTTCTTAAAAATGTACACAAATATTACAACTCTACAAAACTTTGATACTGTTTTGTTTTCATATTTAGATTGAAGATTTGTTTCAATTCATTTTAGAAATTTTTGCACTGGACCCTATTCAGTAGTAGAACTGAGTAGTAACTATCCCAGGTCTAGGATAAATCAAAAGATTTGTTTTCTCTTTCATCAGTATCACTCTCCTCACTACATCAGAATACATAATTTTCAGGAAATCATTCCAACACATCTTTATAAAAAGACAAAAATATTTGATTACCAAACGATTGATCAGGTAATAAATAAGAAATTACATTTAATTACAAAAACCATACAATTTTCATAGTAATTTTTCATTGGCTGACAGCTCAATCCAAGATTATTTATTACATTTACACAGGGATGTGTGTGTCCTATGATTTTTGTCAATTTAGAATTTTTTCTACTAGGAAAACATTAATACAAATTACACAAATATGCTATTGAAATAGGCGTGAAATAGTTAATTAGGTGTGAATATACCTTGTTTGGGTTTGTTGATATCAGGGAATACCCCCGTTTCGGCATCCATCTTTGATTCGCGGATGAGCTTAGTGGTCGCTAGTTTTAGCTTCAAACACAATAGTTTCTTCCACAGACATGTTCATTAATCCATTTTTCTATAGTACAAATATCAATGTAATAGACTGCCTAGGTATTTTCCAATTTAAGAGAATAATTATTGAACATTTTTGCAAATTAAATTCGACACATATTTCCACTGCACCAACGCACTTCCCCAGCTGGGGTCAATGCTTAGGTCGCCGTGACGTCATCCATCCCAGAATTCCTTAGTCGGGGTTATCGCCATTTCCAGTTAAAAGAAGTATCGAGTCATTCATGAATTTTTTAAAGTTTTAGCTGTTTTTGACATTTGAGAAGTTGGTTGTGGGAATATTTTGCTCAGGGAATAAGTTTTGAGGTTAGTTTATCTATCAGTTTACTTAGAAGGTGTGAGGGGAGAGTAAAAACAAGGCAAACTTTTCACCTAATTTGTTATCTGATTCAACGGGTTGGGCCGGCAAATTTGTCAGTGGGATTTTAAGTTGCACATTTTTCAAATCTGAAGCAACAATCAAATGAACAAGGTACCACCAGATAATTACAGGTTTTAAGATAAACAGGTCATGTTAGCCTGTAGGCTTAGGCTAAATGTGCTGTATTGCATTGAAGTGAAAGACCAAAGGAGAGTTAGAGTGACCAAAAATATAAGCTTACACTACAGGATTTATTTTTTCTCAAAATTTGTGCAAGCTGACAATTAGTTGTAAGATTGACATCAAACTTGAACTTAAAGAATTGATTACCACTAAACCCCTGTACATCTTCCATGTTATGTAACAGCAACATTCAGTAACTTTATTATTGTAAATAAGTGGTGTGAACATTTAGCTTGTGGGTACGGTAAACTAAGTGATTCATGAAATTTTGGGAGATCATTATGTTTTGTTTTTGACTCATATTGTTTTTATTGACATGTGTTCAACAGGTGAAATTTACAAACAAAGCATTGAGGTAAGCTATACCTTAACTGACCCAGGTGTACTGGTAGGAGAGTCTGGCATCATTCCCCATCAGTTTTTTGATAATGATTGAATTAATTTAGGATCAAGGCAAATAAGTTTGTACCGGTACCCATTGCCCTATAGTACTAACTGCTAACCATACAATATTTTAGTTTACCAAAGTATTTCAATGAACAGAATTGAAACATCAATTCCATGGGGTTGATAAATAAAATGAAACAAGAGTTCTACCAGGATTTCCGTAGAATTTTGTGGTAGATGTGAGAGACATCGCAGTTGTGAGATTGTTTTTCAGCATTTATCTTGATATTCAATGAAACATCTTATTTTGTTATTTGCCAAGAATATAGTATCCTAATATTTTTATTTATCACATCTTATCAATAATTCAAATGCAATTTTTTTTTTTTTGGGTCAATATAAGCTATACTTATAAATGCAGTTTCTAACATTTTGTTTTTGTCCTTTGGATGTGACTCTCCAAACCATCATCATATTGTCAATGAGAAACTCGTTAAGACAAATAACTTGGAACTATAATATAGAAATTGAATAGGCCTAAAGCACCGGTACTTGACACAACTCTAGGAAGTAGATCTCCTAATTAAATTGTTTTCTAGTTTGTAAACTGATAATAATCTTATAAAGGAAGGAAAAAAAAAACTCCACCTAGTAATGATTTGCTCTAGTTATAGGCTAGTATGTTGTAACAGACTTATCTTGATATCATGTCTATAAATAGATATTTTTAAAACCAATAAGTGTATAATTTACATGGTATATAAATAAATATTTTTCTTGTCTAAAATTATATATTATTGCACTATGTTATGTTTGTCATATAGATGCAAAATTGATTGAAGGCTAATAACAGTACATGTCTAAGTTTTGTATTTTTCTTGTAATTGTTAGGATTAATTCAATATATGAATTCTTGCATTTATAGACATGTAACTTTTCATTGGGATCTTAAATTGTCTTTTATGATACAATTGGAAATTTAACAATCTGATGAGTATTTTGAATTACCCAGTTGATCACTGAGCTATTTTGAAATCTCTTTTAGAGTGTTCTGTTAAACAATAAAAAATTCAACATGTGAATTAATTGAACATGGAAGTATTTGGTGTCTGCTATATCAATCTTAGAATTGACCTAACATGCTACTCTTCCATACCAGTACTGTTATATCTTTAACATTAACAGACACACTACTGACTTCCTCCACTCTATCACAGCTGCTTTAATCATAATAAGATAGGAAGCAAAAACTGTTATGGCGCAGGGTAGCTGACTTGAATGTAAACTGAACTTGTCTAGCTTACTGAATGAGTTTATTTTATAAAACCTAGTGCGATGTGAGAGTTGGAAATTGATTTCAATGTGCTTTTGAAATGTAGAAAGATGTCTTAGAAATTAATTTGGAATCCAAAATAGTGGAGGAAGCTGGTAATCTTAAGGTAATTTATAGGTTAAGGTGCATTGACGTGTGAAAGAATAGATTTGTTTTATAGATTCTTGTTCAGAAAGCAAGCCGTTTTTTTTTTTAGAAAAGTGTGATTTCTTTTTCTATACTCTAAGCAATAACCTGATGTAAATTTGCTTCAGCAGGAAAGTCTGATTAGGTTAGTCTACTTAAAACACAAAAATCAAATTTAATGATCTATGATTCTGACAAAAGGATGAAGTAGATTATGAGTTATATGGGTATGGATTTGTGTAATGTTTAAAGAAGGATTTATTGACTAGGTTTAACTCCTACACAAGTGGATTATGTTATGGCATTTGTATTGTGCAGTGATGTGTGATTAAATTAGTTGTAACTTTTATGGACTATCAACATAAATATTTGTCTTATGATATGGAAATTCTAAAGATATTTAAATAATGTAGTTCAGGAACCAAATTTTATGGATTTTAATGTAGTTAGCCCAGACAGTGGCATCAGGTGTTTGGCAAAGGTTTTTGATTATGCCTTGCTAGGACAGTCATTTTGAAAGCTTTCATTGAACTACCAAATCTCTATTAGTTCAATGATGGCTTTTGATAAGTTAAGAACACAAGTTATGTGGATACTACTTCTAGTTATATTAAATACTACACAAACTCTCTTAAAGTTGTTTTACCGTTATTGGCTTCAAGTACTTTTCTTTTATCTATCCTCTGTTGTTATTATAGGCACATCTTTAATCATGATTGTTATTGTTATATCCCTTTATGGCTTTTATTGATTTACCTATATATCTTGTGTTGTTTGGTTGTTATTCATTTTACTTGATAACATTACCTGTATGTGTTTTGAAACGTAGTATTTAATAAAACTAGAAGTAGTATATATCCATATAACTTGTGTTATTAATGTTTACCTTCTGCTTCTATAAGCTTATGTCTTACAAAGATTATTTGGATAATTTGTTTGAAAGATAAGAGTGCCAGTACCATTCTTTATTTGGATAGTTTGTACTTAATTGGATTTTACTAATTCCAATACAACACTATGCTAACTGAGATATAATAATCTTAGATTGAATTTTGTAGGAATGTTTCTTCACAAAACGTTATAAATGGTGTATTTGAATTTTCCAGGTGTTAAAAGAGGAGTAATTGAGAAAAGAATCAAGATGTCTAAGGCCAAGACACAGCAACCAGCTGTCATTCATAAAGTGATTATGGTAGGAAGTGGTGGTGTTGGTAAATCAGCATTAACTTTACAATTTATGTATGATGAGGTAAGCTTAAGCAATTTATATCTCCTCATTTACATACTTTGTAAATGAATTAGTTGCAGAACCACTACCTCGAAATATTTATATCGGCAGATGGGAATGGCAAGATATCAGAAGTCATGGATTGACTTTTGAATAGTCCAGACACTAGTCCTCAGCTCTTATTTTAGTTATATTTAAGTATGATTCATGTAAATTGAAATTAAAGGTACAGATCATTACTATTGACAAAAATGTAAGATAATGCATAAGGTTGATGTTGATAATGCATAAGGTTGATGTTTTGTTTCAGTTTGTAGAAGATTATGAACCAACTAAAGCGGATTCGTATCGTAAGAAAGTTATATTAGATGGTGAAGAGGTTCAGATAGATATTTTAGATACAGCAGGTCAGGAAGACTATGCTGCTATAAGAGATAATTATTTTCGATGTGGTGAAGGCTTTCTCTGTGTTTTCTCTATAACTGAACAAGAATCGTTTCAAGCTACAGCTGATTTTAGGTGAGTTAAATACCGTGTACATAGAAATAAAGTTTTTCAGTCTTCTAATTATTCAATCACAGAGATCGATTGTAACTGGCCACTTTGAATGAGAATGTCTTTTTCATTAAAAAAAAATGCCTTAATGACTAACAAAGACCTAATAAAATACTTTGTGATCCCACCCTCTATAATTTCTGTCAGTATACTGGATTGTGAAATTTAACTTTTATCAGCTGCAGTGGATCCAGTGTAAGCTGTATTTATATTTAAAGTAAATAAACAGTTATTCATGTAAAAAGTGATTATTAAAGTTAAAATACTGATAAGATGAGTTTAATGTTAGAAGAACGACTGTTTATTACCTTTAAGATAAGTTTAAAAGTGTGGTACACATTAAAATAGATAACTCAACCCACAGTAGGTAATAAAATTAGAAAATAAGTAATTTTTTTGTTGATTCTTAAAGATGGGTTCTTCCACTTATTATCATTATTTTCTACTGTCCTTACAGTGCACTCATTTTCACTACATGAAGTGATCAATGTTATTTACCTCCTAAGTCTAATAATTATCAAAACAGTGAACTGTATGTAAGATTTACTGTACATATATACATCAGCTGAGGTTTTCCATGTTTTAACATTCCAGAAATGAATAGTTATGATAAATAGATAGATATAATTCTTTTTCAAAACCAGTATTACCGGTACATTGTTTTATGCATCCTGGAATGGAACCTCATTTCTATGCTGATAAGCACCTAAATGTATTGATTAGTTTATTATGAAATACTGTTTGAAAATTAATGTAGAATGTAAAAGATTCATTCTATTAAACTATCCTATACTAGATTTTAGTTGTATGAATTTGTGTTGAAGAAAAGAATGGTAAACTGTATATGTTTATAGTATTATTAAACCAGATGTGATATAGACTGGTGGAATGTAGAGAATGACCACTGGTACTATCAAACTACATTTTAACATCATGTTTATACAGTCTACTGCTCTATAACCAATAACTACATAGTCTTTTATCAGAGTTATTTAAAGATCTTAATACCTTGATAACTATCAGTAGTATAGCTTACAACTCTATATGCTATGATACTGCTGTGTAGAAAACATCACTTGACATGATGAATGTTCTTTATGATATAAAATTTATTTTCTAATCTAAGGAAACCAGGCAATAAGCTGTTTTATGAAGAATGAAAACATTAAATGAAAATTATGGATGAAGATTACAATTTTTTATGGATTTTTTTACAACTTTCGCATTATCAATCTTTATTCTTAGAAATTTATTAATGCATACTCAACCATATTCCTTGGTGTTCTTCACTATAAAGATAGCACATGGCCCCTTCCTTATTAGTTATTTTTGAGTTGTTTATACTATCTCTTCAAGAAATCTAAAAAAGAAATCAAGGGCCAGATAATTCAATCGTATCATTAGTAGTTCTTCAACAGATACTGTTGTTGTTGCCAAGAGGTAGAAATGAATGAATTTGTTGATAAACTTTTGATTTTCTCTTTCTTAAGAATTTGATGTCAAAAGATGTTAGTTCCAACCAATAGAATGATTTTAATAACATATTTTATCCTACAATATAAATTCCCTTGTAAGACTAATCCAGGTCCAATCTGATTTCTGTGATTCTATTAATACAGGCTTTAATCGATTAGTATGGTTAATATGCTTAGATTATTGTGGCATTGTAGAAATCTCACACATCAGAATGACATAAAAGTAAATGAACCCCTGATAATTATACAAAACAAAACATTTTATTAGAATCCCTTTAACCATTACCGGTATGATACATTATACTAGATCCTGCATTTTCATGTAATTTAAAATAATTGTAAATAAAAACAAATTAAAGTTTCATGATTCCAAAATAAGATAGTTTTGATTCAAGACTATAAATATAGATTGCACACCTGTTCAATTTAAATAAGACTTTCTACCCACTTCAGTCTGTCTGGCTACATAAAATATAGCAATACAAACTTGATTTTCATTTCTTAACTATTCTTTTAAGTGCTGTGGGTGTAAAATTCTGAATTCCCGAAAACTCTGTATTGTCCGAATTGGGTGAGAAAGACCTAAATCGAGACTTAAGTTGGGCCAAAGGTTTTTTCACAAATTTGTGATTGACAATGAAAGAATATTTTAAAACATATTTATAATCACATCAACTACGATTCTTCATGTACATTAATTTTATTATTTCTTATTTATACTAACACTAACAATCAATTAAAATTATTCTAATTTAATAATGAAATCAATGTTATTTATTTGTGGTCAGTGACATAGCTTACCCTGCCCATGGATTTGAGAGCAATATTGCTTCTTAATAATTTTAGAAGTTCCAGTCTGGTTCAATCAGTACCCATAACTAGGTAACATCCCCTATTCCAAACACGGCTTTGGAAATTTTGTAGCTTCCTGCCAGTCAGTTAATTGTCATAACGCTTTGAGTTTATCCGTAGGGTTTCACTAATGTTCATGTCAGCCTATTCATTCCGTGAGACTACTCAGGGGTGTTTAATTGGAACAATGATGTTGAATAGTAGGTTTGGGTCAAATTATTTGTTCAAAGCAAATAACTAACATTTTATTCAGGCTCCAAATCTCATTCCCTTAGACTTAGAGATCAGACTTTGACAATGTGTATTCATGGCTTGTTGCCCACAAATAAAATGAACCATCTTTAAGACAATCAAAAGATGTTTTTTTTTTTTTAGCTTTTCAGAGATTTACCCCTGCTCAATACCATCAAATTAGATTTTGATATCGATGACACTGTTCAATGTTGATGGTGATAATATACTAACTAATAATTGAATTATCAATTGAATGTCAAAACGATAATAAGTAAAATTACTGTACACGAAAAACAAATTTGCTTCAAAAACTATTTAATCATTGTCATTAAAAAATTTTTGCACAGCCTTTGGCGAAACTTAGGTCTCAATTTTTAGGTCTTTTCTGAACCAATTCAGAATGTTTGGAATTTGGAATTTTAGGTCATCAAGTAATACATCTAGAATTCAAAATATGAATTATTTATTGACTGAAAAGTATGGGACACGTCATAAAAATATATCATGGCATTAATGAATCAAATCCTATACAAACGAAAATCCTTACTGGAACTGCCATCAGACATGGATGATTGGCAAAATCATGGTGGATATTGGATAATGTTGTTTATCAGAAATAATTACATGTCTGTCTTGTTTATCGGTTCGAGATAACATTTCTTATTGACCTTCTCATTTTCTTCTCTTCCTTGACTAGATCTTAACTAGAAGAGAACTTGCAGATTACACTATTGAATTTATTGTTTCTTAACTTGCAGTGGTGTTTCTCACCAGAACTCTATTAAAGGTTTAAGCTTATAGAAAACCTATTTTTCTTTCATAAGAATCAGTTGTTTGATGTTATGCTTTTTGTCCGAAACTAAGTAACTTTCAGATATAATCGTATATGTATAGAATGTATTATGTAAGTTTAGCTCTGATTGGTTGATGTTATTTCAGTGATGATATCTTGACAAAATAATATTAGTTACACTTTGTGTCAAATTTAAACTGGCCCCTGAATTCTGAATTTACATAATTGATAATAAAGAAAAATGTCATAAATCACTGAATTGAAGTTGTTTCAGTACCTCAGTTTCAGTTTTTTTGTCTGAGACACTGAGAGATAATATATATCACTGTTTATTGCCTTTTTCAGAGAACAAATATTACGAGTGAAAAACGATGAAAACATTCCGTTTTTATTGGTGGGTAATAAAATGGATTTAGATGCTAAAAGACAAGTTAGTTCAGAAGAAGCCTCTCGAAGGGCAGCAGAATGGAAAGTTAATTATGTAGAAACCTCAGCCAAAACTAGAGCCAATGTAGATAAGGTATGATGATATTTTTTGAACTGTCATTATTTCTCTTTATTTTTTTTAAAATACAGTTTTGGAAATATTTTCAGTTCGTTATTTCAAGCCGTTGTCAATCTACTATGAGAATGATTGTGCTCAATGAACATAATAATTACATGAAAATTGCAATGAAATAAATAGAAATAATAATTGTATTATATTGATTTTAAGTTATGTATAATGTTGACTTGGTGAGTACTATTTACAGATCTGATCATCACTATAACTATTGGCTTAATGTTGATTTTTCATGAGCTCATAGTTCTATAAACTTTTGTCTATATATGATTTTGAAAGGGTAATCTGCTTAAAAGTCTTAAAATGTCTTACATTTTGAGGTTAAATTTCATTTTGATCACTAGTAGATTTTGATGATAGTTCAGAAACATTAATTATACTTCAAGTAACAGTTGTTTTATCCTGAAATTAATAAAGGAAGATCTCATCTGAATTTTCAAAGATGTTAGGGAATCGGGTGTACCAAGTTTGTGAATGACCTCCTCATATGTTACTATTTGGTGTTTTCATATATACGTATAATACGTGTTTGTAATTGAGATCACAACCAAGTATTTTAAAGGTCCAGTTAGACATGACTTGCAAATCTAGATCAGCTGTAGGTTTTAAAGATTTTGAGGCCAGAAGCCTAATACTGTCTTTTACTCATCAATTATAGAGAACATGTAAAAAAACAGTTATTTTCTATGTTTGAATTGAAAGAGTTCTAATTACCTTTTGACTATACTATAATGTAAACCATATAAAAACTGACACAGTGATAAAGTAGAGATTATAAGTGACTTAATGATTTAACAGGTTAATCAGAATGTGCAATTTTTTCCTTGAAAATTTATTTTAATTAAAGAGGTTATTTATAGTTGAGTTAAAGCTGCAGTGTAGCTAATTTTTGTTATATCAATCTATCAAGCTACTGATATTCCTGTTTGAGGCCTATATATAATGTTGTTGATGAGAATTATAACATATTCCAATTTTTTCAGTTAATCAGCCTACTTCCATATGATGTCTATATACACATTGATAATTCTAGTGTCCTAACCAAGTGTAATGTTGATTTTTGACAGAAACCCAACTACAAGTACAATAGCAGATTTCATTTAATACCTATTCATTATTAAATTCACCTCAAAATCTACTAATATGTAATGATTGAACCCTAGACCTCCAGTCTCCAGTTTAGCATACCAATGAAATGTAGTTATTCTTAAAAATTAGATGTATGATTAATGTTAACGTTATTTTAGAAGTAACTTGATAAAATAGGCAAAAGGTAAAGTCATCAGGGGGTCAAGATTAAAATTAGGTGATTATTGACATCATCTTCAACAGGAAAATATTTCATATTTTAATTCCAGCCCATATATATCTGAACTGATCAGAAATAAATGGTTTCCAGTGCTTATCAGTTTGAAATTTTTATGTTTTTTAAAATAAAAAGATATTTCTGGCTAATACCTCTTGGACTAAAAAAAAAAGTTTGCCTGTTCATTTTATTCCATGCATCTTTGAAGTATAAAATAAGTAAGGCAGCATTTTTTCTGGCAGAGCTAACTGACCAGAAGTAAATATGAAAAAATTATCTTTTATAATAAGTAACATTATGTTTAGATTTAAGACTAATAAGAGGAGCAGATGTGAGAGTATGTTTATAGTTAGTCCAATCTATCACCTAACATCAGGTGTTTATGGTAACTTAGACTTATTTCCTTGTTTATCTTACTGACTGGAACATCTTCATGTCTCTTGCTACTAGTTAATAAGCAGGTACTATGATAATCTGAAACTTTCTGACTCTTTTACCTAGCCTCTTATAGATAAGTTTACCGGTTTTGATAAATATATTATCGTACAATAAATTAGCAAGTACCATATTAAAATGATAAAGTTTACCAACGGCTTGTGCACTATGGTTTGATTTGCGATTTGTTTGAATCATTGTTTTTGTAGATGAAAAGTGCATGATGAAGGAGTGTAATTGATGTTATATAAGCTTATATCAGATTCAGTTCCTTTTTAAAATGTTTCATTCTGTAAACTAAATTTGAGAATAGATATATTGAAATTGTGATCCACAGTAAATTATATTTTGCCATTTTTTTGGCCTTTAACGAGTTACTATGTTAGAATAAAGTTTTGATGAATGATACTCTCTAACACCTGATGTATAATCTCTAAGCCAGATATCTATCTATTATAAAGTAATTTAATAGACAGTAATCGCTTGGCCTACTGACATTTCTTCCAATTTTAGACTACAAATGATATATTTGAATACAAAATCTATCTAGAGATAAAAATTGAATTAGAACAAGTGATTTCATTATAGAATTGAAAACTGAATAGAATGAATAGTTTCAAAAAGAGATGTAATATTCTACGATTGCTGTGTCACAAAAGATTACGTCTGTGATGTCAGTGTGATTGATATTTGTTATACGAAAATGAAAAAAAATGTCTTGTTTTCTCTTGTGAGTTGACATTTCATTACACTTTTGAGAGTTGTGAAGATTTCAGCCCATTATTCAATGAATTTTATGAATATGAAATTGATTAGTTAATGACATTAATTATTAAATGATAGTGATATATAAATTAAAATGAGTATATCTGTAGGGAATTGTTTTAGCATTTTAAACCAAAGCAGAAAAAATATAATGGCTGTGGTTATTTTACAGCTACTTTGCTTAATTATAACATCAAAGTTTACTTATTAACATAATTGTTTAGAATTCCTTTGTGGTCTGTTAGATTTTTGGCATCATGCCAGTACCAATTGTTTGAAAGATTCAATTATCTCAAGTAAAAAAAGTGAAAAAAATCAGAATGGACCTCTTTATTATAGCCTGAAGCATGTCTTAATTTGAGAAAATTTTGAAAGTTAAGCAGTCATTAAGATAGTGGTCTATTTAATGTAGTAGGAACTGATACTGTTCTTCCCAGGAAATTTCATTCAAGCCAAGAAAGTAATATCTTTACTAAGGGGACAGGTGCGCCACTATTTTGAACCAATCATACCTTCGTCTCAGAAATGGGAATTTTAGACATTTCCAAGTATATTTCCAGTACTTCTGAAGACATTTACATATGTTCAAGACTCAAATCATCCATCAAAATGGCAATGAACCTTTAAGTATGATCAATAAATACAAATAAGGAATTCACACATTGGAACTCTAAGCACCATTACCATTCCAACTGCCCATAATGCTGTTTTTACATCCAAAGCATGTTCTTAGCATTTTCATTTGGAGAGTTCACAAGTGCCTTAATCTCTTGAATTTCAGACATTTTTTGATTTGCTGAGAAAGATGACTTTGTATAAAATGAATTCTTCTGATAAACCAAAACATAAAAGGCGTTCATCAAAGCGTTCTTCAGCGCCAACAATTTCTACACTTCCTGACGCATCAATGCTAACAACCTCTTCTGAAAAACCAAAGAAAAAATCAAAGAAGAAATGTGTCATTTCATAAACAATGGCAATTTTGATTCTTTTATTCTTTATGCACTAGACCACCCATTTCCACTCACTGGAAATATCTGCACTATTGTTCAGATGCCAGTATATTTTATTTTCCCAAGAATTCAATAACATTTCCTACCCTTCAAATAACATCAAAAACTATCCTACACCATCAATTTTGAGCTGAGAACTGATGTCAAGTTACGTTGATGTTTTTTAAATGTAAATGTATCAATGCTGAACTTTGTAAGATATAATTTACAAATTCTGTTGATAAGCAGGACTAATATGTTTATAACCCTGTTATTAGATGACAAGAAAGAATTATAAAAATAACAACTGCTCATGTAAACCACAATGCAATCCTCAAAATATATCAAGAAAGTCCCTCACACAGCCTGTATTTAAAAAAATGAATTACTGAAGTTTTCTTATATGAACAAAACAGATAGTAAATACAGATTAGCTAACATATCTGAGTAATTTCTTATAGTTTTAAATGTTGTATAGTAATATTTATTTTGAATTAGTTAAGTTTCAAAAAATCAGAAAGAGTTTTTATCAGAGTGCTTCTATTATCAACAATACATCACAGTTTTTTCTTTGCAATTATGATATTCAATACATATTTTATATTTTTCAGGTATTCTTTGATTTACAGCGAGAAATAAGGTCACGAAAAATGGAAGCTAGTCGACAAAATAATGGCAAACAGCGAAAAAACAAAGATCGTAGTAAGAAAAAATGTGTCATACTGTAATGGATGTTAATCTACCTTATAAATTATTTGGCCTTGGCCTTCACATTTCGGGGATCCGAGTGACCTATTTCATGCAAACTTTTATAAGTAACAACATTTAATCTTCATCAACAGACAAATGACTGTATTATTACAGCATAAAGTGATGACATCATGAATATTATTCAGCATAAAGTGATGACATAACTGTATTTGTGTTTAATTTTCATCAGAATTAATGACATCATCAATTTGTGTTTAGCTATTTAATCCTGTGTTTTGGAACGTACCCAGTGCATGAAGAGACTCTACCAATAAAACCAATATGCTTATTTTTTCAAGACATACTTGAAAACACTGTAAATCCCAATTTGCAAGTATTATTTTATATACAATTTTCTTTGTATAAGCTTTTATATTTGCATTGTTACGAGCACAGGTGCAATATATATGTTAATAGTAACAAATTGCTTTTTGGTTTTAAGCTAATTAGAAACAGTATTGTTTTGGGTGTAGTTTGGGGGTTTTCAGTCTCATAGAAATAGAAAATCAATCTTTCATCAACAAGCCCCTTAAATGCCATTGTTTCACTGAATATTTTGCTGAATGTTGTCCATATTGATTGTTGATGCTACTGACGGTCACCTTAGTTTTTACCCCTTATATCTTCCATAACTGAAATTATACAAAAATTAAATTAATATTCACTTTAAAGCATCTTGTTATGTGAAATTTAAAAAAAATCAAAAATGATAATTAATGCTAGGTTGTTAGTTAGGACAGTCAGTCAGTCAAATTCTAGAATAGGAAAATAGTAAACTAAGATGACATACATGTCAAACTTAACCATTAATACTAATCCAACCCAAAATAAAGAAATTTCTAATTCAGACATCTGTATTATCATTGTAAATATTATTGTTTTTTATGCAATTATTAATTGTTGTTGTTGATGCTTGATAAAAAAAAAACTTGTATGTTGAAGACAAAATTAAGAAATGGAGTACATGTAGTAGGCATGAGGCTGAACTATTTTGGTAAAAATAATGCTTTGTTCGTTGGTTGAATAACTCATGCTATGGTCGGCTGGAAAACTGTGCAACCAAAACTTGAATTAACTTCAAAAGTCAGTGATATTTTTTCATGTTAAAGATTGAAATACTGGTAGTGTACATAGTTTGTGCTTTAAGTACCGCCTCAATGCCAAAATGTTGTATATTGTTACTGCTTTTGGTACTTCTTAAAATTGAATCTGTGACAAACCAATTGCAATATTCTGTTGTGTCCAGATTTCTTATTCTTCACAAAGTGAAATATTTTACCTGAATGCACACAAAGTAAAGTTTTTAAATGAAGTTTATTCATTTGTATTCAAAGGTCTTTGAATGAAAAAAATAGCAAAATGAAATACCCTGGATAAGTTTAGTTTTCAGCTTGGATCTGCACTTACAAGGGTCATATATATTGGTATCTTTATTCTTGAATTATAGCGGTATTCCTCATTGATATACATGTAATGAAATATTGTTAAAAATATCTTCAAAGCATACTTTAATGAATAACAAAATCTCATGATAAGGTAATATTACTTCATCAGATGAATCTTTTTTTGAATAAGACAGATTCTTGACATACATATGAATTAAAATGTACATGTACTTGTATAATAGTGTTAATTTGTATGATTTTATTTTATAAAATTTGTTAATATTTTTTTACTCATCTTTAATTGTTGTTTAGAAATGTACCCTATGTTATTCTTGTTCAAGGCTTTCACGCTTCTGTACTTGCTTTTTTGTAACATGTTAGTTTATCTTGAGATAGTCAATAAAATTATCGAAGAGCCTGTTAACAAAGCATCTTGTCAAATTTTTTGTCCATATAAGTTAGTACCAAAATTCATTCCAAGGTGAAAGGAATTGATAGTTGACACTAGACTGAATACAAAACTCAAGCCATGGCATTTTACCATCTTACATTAAATTCAAAGATAACTCCGATTTGGCTTAAAGATGTTTTATACATTGCTCCTGAGTGTGGGCTCACATTATTTCAAAAACTATTAGATAACTTGGGGTCATTGTTGTTTAGAGATCAGATAGAAATCTGTAATATAGAGTGTCCTGTAATGGGACCAAAATCTTTTAAAGGGATTCATTTTCATATTTAGTGATTTATCATCAAATAAAAAAATGTTACGAAAAGACATGGAATTGAAAGTTGATTTTGTGCAATGGACTATTGAAGGATATTGTTTGACTAATTACTTGGCCTGCTTTAATTCAGCCTATATTTTCAGACTGAAATTCAAACAAATCCCTTTGAATAAAAGAGATAAATCTATAAAAATTAGATGTATCCCTTTAAAAATGATATAAAGTTATTAAAACTTCAATTGTACTTGAAGTTAGCACTTGCCATATTTATTCCTTTATGTATAGCTTGTAATTAAATGTGTATATAACACAGGACCTTTTTTAGGGATTCTTTCTATTGATATTGTTCAGGATTTCTATACATCTTGCTTTTTAATACATCTTGCTTTTCAATATTTTGTTGATATTGATGCTTTCAGAAGATAGGGATTAGATTCATCAAATACGACCAATATAGATCTAAATCTGTAACCTTCTTGTATATAGAAACAAAAGCTTGAAGAGCAAAAAATATTGGTAACTAAAGATAACACGGTGTAGAAAAACTGATATATCAAGCTCTTAAAACATGTTATTTATAGCATTTTGACACAATTTTTCAATTTGACAAGCCTGTCTGAGAGGTAAATAGCAATATTGCATGATTGTGACACTTGCTGGTAACTAATCTCATTTTTTAGTTCAGTTCTTCTAACAATATGTTATAAGCCAATTTTATCTAAGATGTTGTAACATGTATTTATCAAACAGTATAATGACACAAAGAATACTGTCATGCTAGTAATTAGTTTATATCCACCCATTCAGATCGGATACCTGCTATTGAAGTAGAATGAGATGTAGATTTAAACCTATATTATTATTATTATTTTTATTATTTATGAATAATTATATCAAATTGATTATTTTATCTGCTCAAAGTACTCACAGAATAAATAACATTTTTAGCATCCTTACATTATTTTTTTATTTGACCATCTTTATTGGATATGGGTAATTGATGAATGTATCGGAGATGTCTTTCAGAAATTCAAGGGATTGTCTCATCTAGAAAAATGGCCAAATAAAATCTGCCTTGCAACTTATATTGGAATTACTAGAAGGGTCCTAAAGGCAAGCAGCTAATTCTTTTTTTAAAATGAACTACAAGTATCCGAATACAGCACTATTGAATGTCATTATTTTGAGAAATTCCATGATATTTGATCTGATTTTTTAGCAAGCGAAATGGGTTCGGAGAAGAAAAAAGGTTGCAGGAATAAAGAAATTTGTTGTAGTCCGAGATATTTCATAGATTTGTCCTCCGCTTTTTGATTCCTTAATTGGAGGTAAAAATAGTGTATCATTAAAAAACAAACTGAAAGTAAGAAAAATGCTACATAGCGTTTCTAAATTGATAAATGGGCAAAACTCAATCATAACATGTATATTTGATTAGTTTTACATTAGTGCTGTCTACTTCTAGTAATGCTCAAGACCAATAAGCCTAGCCTACATGGGCCGTGGATATTCGCCACCCGGGTGGCGAATAGTCCACGTCCATTCATTTGACTATTCGCCATCCGGGTGGCAGAAAAAATCTCTAAAAATTCATGAAATGTCAGCCTTTTTGATATAATTGTTTCTTTCAGTGACATATATGTCGACTCTGAGTAATTTGTAATGGATTTTGTCAGGTTCAGACAAGATCGTGTTAATATAAATTGAATTTCTTGCAATGAAACGAAAGTAGAAATTCCGCCATTTTGTTTACACCAAATTAGCATACATCTCAAATGGTCCTGATAGTGTTGCTATGAAATTTAGCATCATACGTTTGTATAAGAAATCCGTAGAAAAAAAAATGAAATAAAATAAAGTTTTACGTCCTATTTCTGCACCTGTATGGGCTACTGAGGATGGGCAAACGCCATGCAGTGTGCAATGAGTGAAATTTTGTCAGGACAGGGATCGACATTAGCCTACTCTTATTTTCGATTTCCAACTGTCGGGGGATCTCTACGTAAGTAAAAAAAAGGTTGATGAAGATGTGTAAATGGTAAAAAAAAAGACAAAGCAGGCGCGTGTCCAAATTGTGTCACATTTATCCTAGACGTATTTTCCATCCCAAACATCGACAAGGGGAAATCGAGTTGAAAAATCCAAAGAATATCAATCCATGGTTGGAGCCATCGCGAATGTGTAAGTAATGTATGTGGGTGGTAAATACACTGCATTGGGGTGGGTGGAAATATGTATTTGAAGTAATAAGGTTTAAGGTATAATAAGGCGTACGATAATCCACAATACTGACGAGTGGTAAGTAATGTGTACGGGTGGTAATAAGGCGTACGGTAATACACAATACTGACAGGTGGTAAGTAATTTGTAAAGGTGGTAATAAGGCTTACGGTAATACACAATACTGACGGGTGGTAAGTAATGTGTAAGGGTGGTAATAAGGCTTACGATAATAAACCATACTGACAGGTGGTAAGTAAATGTGCAAGGGTGGTAATAAGGCGTACGATAATAAACCATACTGACGGGTGGTAAGAAATGTATACGGGTGATAATAAGGCGTACGGTAATACACAATACTAACGGGTGGTAAGTAATGTGTAAGGGTGGTAAACAAGAATTGGGGATGGTAAACAAGAGCTGAAGGAAGTAAGTTGTTGTTAACCACCAACAATTCCTGTTTACCACCCCAGCTCTTGTTTACCATCCAAAATACTTGTTCTTGTTAACCACTCACAGTTCTTGTTCCTGTTAACCACCCACAATTCTTATTTACCACCCTAAACTCTTGTCCACCATAAACTCTTGTTCACTAGTTGTTGTTCACTACCCTCGGTTCTTGTTTAACATACCAGCTCCTGTTCACCACCCTGGGTTCTTGGTTACCACCCTCAGCTCTTGTTCACCACCCTACCTGTTGTTCACCGCCATCATTTCTTGTATACCACCTTTAGTTTGTGTTTACCACCCAACTCTTTGTTACCACCCTAGTTGTTTTTCATTAACCTAGCTGTTGTTTACCACCCTCAATACTTGTTTACCACTCTCAGCTCTTGTTTCATTAACCTAGCTGTTGTTTACCACCCTCGATACTTGTTTACCACCCTCAACACTTGTTTACCACTCATAATTCTTGTTTACCACACTCAGCTCTTGTTTCATTAACATAGCTGTTGTTCACCACCCCCAGGCCTTGTTCACCACCCACAATACTTGTGTAACACCGACAATTTGTGTTTGTCACCCTAAGCTCTTGTTCACCTACTTAGTTGTTGTTGTTTACCATCCCCAGCTCTTGTTTACCACCCTCAGCTATTGTTCACCACCCTGGGTTATTTTTACCACCCTAGCTGTTGTTTACCACCCGTAGGTCTAGTTTAACAGCCACAATTCTTGTTTACCAACCTACTCTGTTTA